TCCTCGCAGAGCCGGGCTGCTCAGGCCTCTGCCTGATGGGAAGGGGTTGAAACTATTCAGAGGTCAGGACATCTCCTGAAGTCAACCGTTTTCATGGAACATGGAGGGTGGAGAACGGGGGGTGTAGACTCTGCCACTGCCCAAGTATGCCCAGCCCTGGGGGCAGGAGAGAAACATTCAGCAGGTGATACTCGCCTTGGGGAGCCAAGACTCTCCCAGAGCCTGGGGTTGGGTGGTTGAGGGTGAGGCTGGATACCTGCCTTTTCTTTTTTTAAATATATTTTTATTGATTTCAGAAAGGAAGGGAGAGGGAGAGAGAGATAGAAACATCTATGATGAGAGAATCATTGCCTGCCTGCCTCCTGCGTGCCCCCTACTGAGATTGAGTCCACAACCTGGGCATGTGCCCTTGACCATAATCGAACCTGGGACCCTTCAGTTTGCAGACTAATGCTCTATCCACTGAGCCAAGCTGGCCAGGGCAGGATACCTGCCTTTTTAACAAACACCCCACGTAGGTTTGGGAGGACCCAAATGACAAATTTGGGGGCATCTTTAAGAAAAAGAGTGCCGTGCTTTACTGAAATAGATGGACAGGGTTCTAGAACCTCACGCAGGGCCTACATGCTGGCAGCCCCGCCTTCCAGGCCTGCCTGTGAGTCCACCTCTGAGCCCAGAGGATTCGGACGAGAGAGGGAAGCGAAACTCAGATAGCAGCTCATTTACAGCGTTTCCTGAGCCCTTGCTGTGCCCCACCCTGAGCGTGGCTCTGGGGACCACGTTGTTTTTCCCCTCGAAAGTTTCATAGGTCATTGGGATTGGTGGTGATAACAATTATTTACCACATTAATGTGCTGAGAGGGAAGTGCCTTCCCCTGGGCACAGCAGCTGGGTGAAGCCAGGTCAGCTGCGTTAATTCTCTAAGCCTCCGTTTCCTCATCTGGGAGGTGGAGCCAGTCACAAGCTTTGTCACAAGGTGGTTGTGAGGGTGAAAGGAATTAACACTCACGCTCCGGAGGCAGTGAAGTCGAAGCCTGGCAGGGAGGGAGCGCCCCGGGAAGCAGGGCTGTGTTTTCCCATGTCTTACCTGAGGGCGGTGAGGCCAGGATGGGGCTCAGAGAGGGCCATGGTCCTTGGGTGAGTTTGAAGGGTTGGCAGTGTCCCTTCCATAAGACGGCGGGAACAGGAGTGGGAGAGCATGCAGCCCCTTGGATCGAGCACACTCAGCATCACTGTTTGCTCACACTCCGCTCCGGGGAGCCCATGGGAGCAAACACTGCAAGGATCAGTGTGGTATCAGTTAGCCAGTGCATAGCTGCCTCTGCCTTTAGTCCCAGTGTGACTAGCCTGGGCCTGGCCCTACTTCCCAGTTCCCTTTAAATAAACGTATCAGCATTTATTATCATTATTATTACTTTAATAGACAACAGAAAAACATTTCCCACAGCTATGGGGGCTGGATCTGAGGTCGGGGCACCAGCACGGTGGGCGAGGGCCCTCTTGAGGGCTGTAGATTTCTCACGTGGGAGACGGAGTGAGGGAGCTCTGTGAGATCTCTTTAAGAAGAGCACTAATCCCAGGGCTCCAGCTCTAGGACTTAAGCACCTCCCACAGGGCACCTCCAAATCCCATCCCATTGGGCAATAGGGTTTCAACACAGGAATGTTGAAAAGACACTAACTTTCAGACCATAGCAGCTGCCAGTAGTAGAGTTCTCCACACAGTAACTCTTCTCAATGCCCTTGGTTATTAGTATCAGCTATGTCATTTCTGAATGTTTCTTTTTGATTGAATTTGTTGGGGTGACACTGGTCAATAACGTTATTCAGGTCCAACTCTGTGACACGTCATCTCTATCCTGCATTGTGCATTCACCATCCCAGGTCAAGTCTCCTTCCATCACCACTTATCCCCCACCCTTTACCCTCTTCTACCGCCCCAGCCCCCCTGCATTTATTTTAAAAAGCAAACTTTATGTCATTTATGTCATTATCATAATGGGTGAAGGGGGCCATTGGGGATTTTAAGAGGACACGAACTTTGTACCATAGCAGTTGACAAATATCCAGAATATCATAGTATCCAGGAAAATAAATCTTTTATTAATTTTCTGGTGCTATAAGCATTTTTGGCTGCTCCTTAGTGTGATGATTTGCCACATTTTCTATAGAGAAAGTAGAAAGATCGTCCTGCCTTTCTGCTGGTCTGCTTCTTCTCCACCACCTGGCACTCTGGGTACCAGGCGCTGTGGAACCCACTCTGGCCCTGTATCTTGTTCCTGGAGCCAGGTGAGGCAGCATGGTGGGCAGGAGGCCATTCCTAAGCTGAGCAGGACTGAATTATTCATGTAAGTGGCTGTGAACCACATTAACATATCCCACTAAACTTAAAGTCAATAGATGCCCAATTCTACTTCCCCTTAGCCAGATCCCCCAAATGCACGTGGCTCTCCAGCACTATCTGAGCCTGGAGGAAGCGTGATGGAGGGAGGGGAAGGAGACGGGCATGTTAAGCCGTTCACTGAATGTTACAGACACCTATGCCCATGCAAACCCATTGCCAGGCAGTGAAGGGCCTTCAAGGTCAAGCTTCTTGTTGAACCCCCTCCTCTGGGTTCAGCTCCTAAACCAGCTGGGAAGGTGGACGCTGGATGGGCTGACAGCCTCTGGCGTTTGCCAGATGGAGATGAGACCTGGTTTGGCTGTAGCTCCTGACCTCAGTCCATGCCCTCCCTCTCGGCTGCTCCCCTTCTTTCTTCCTCTCCTACTCCATGCTTTCAGGGAGCAAAGCCATGTTGGTCCTCTGTAAACACTGCCCAGAAAGCAAGCAAGGGTTTACTGACACCAGATTGCTCTCTGCCTGGCACCAGACCTCAGAGTTCACATCTGTCCTCTTTTCTTATTAAATATTTTTATTGATTTCAGAGAGGAAGGGAGAGGGAGAGATAGAAACGTCAATGATGAGAGAGAATCATTGATTGGCTGCCTCCTACATGTCCCACACTGGGGATCAAGCCTACAATCCAGGCATGTGTCCTGACTGAGAACAGAACCATGACCTCCTGCTTCACAGGCCAACGCTCAACCACTGAGCCACACCGACCAGGCACAGCTGTCATCTTTGGTCAAGCTCCTGGCAGCCCTTCCCGGTCTGCGTGCTCCCACACACCCAGCAGCCCCTCCCTTGATTTTGGTGCTAGTCGAAGAGATCGCCTGAGCAACCAGCAAGCAGCAACCAGCTGCTGACCTGCTGAGCTGACAACAGCAGGGCAGATTTACCTAGTCCGCATTCTGGGTTATCTATTGCTGCATAAAATGATACAAAACTTAGTAGCTTCCCACCATGGTATTGATCTGGCTCACAAATCTGAACTTGGGCACTAGATGGGGAAAGCTCCTCTCTGCCTAAGAGAATGGGAGCCTCTCTGTGCCTATAACCAAACCTCAGAAGGCATGAGGGCCATTCCTGCCACATTCTATCTGTTAAGGCAATAGTACAACTTGTGATGCTAACCACTGCACAACCCTGCCTCAGTTCTCAGATGCCTTTCCATGGGACGGGCTTCCTTCCGTGGCCCATATCATTTGCTAAAGGAATGTGGCTCTGTGCTCTGTGCCTGCAAGGGGAGGAGGGCTCTGCCAGACCAGACTGCTGGTTTCTTCTTTTTAATCCTCAGTAGAGGATATTTTTTTCATTGATTTTCAGAGAGTGGAAGGGAGGGAGGAGCGGCGAGAGAGGGAGAGAAACATTGACATGAGAGAGACACATTGATTGGCTGCTGCCCCCACACACATGGCCCCAATGGGGCCAGGGAACCTGCTACGGAGCTATGTGCCCTTAACTGGGAATCGAACCTGCAACCCCTGGTCCACAGGTAACGCTCTAACCACTGACGCTGAAACCAGGGCTCCTGGTTTCCCTTTATTTTTTTTAAATCCTCACCTGAGGATAGTTTCCCTTTGCTTTTATTATATATATATATATATATATATATATATATATATATATATACACATACATATATATATATATGTATATATATATACATATATACATATATATATATATATATACATATATACATATATATATATATATATAAAATTGATTTTTTACAGAGGAAGGGAGAAGGATAGTTAGAAACATCAATCAGCTACCTTCTTCACACTCCCTACTGGGTATGTGACCTTGACCAGAATTGAACCTGGGACCCTTTGGTGAACCACTGAGCAACTGGCCAGGGTTTCCTTTTTGAACACTCTTTTCTGTGCCTGGGGCTTGCGAAGCCCAGTGCGTCAGGCTCAGCTCTGGGTCCTGTGAACAATGTCATATCCAGGCCCTTCCCGAGGCGGGCAGGGGAAGGAGCTGGAGGCTGCAGAAAGGAACAGTGAGTCCATTCTCTTGTATCCGGGGACTTCCTGAGAAGACTGTAAAGCAGCACGAAGTGGTATTATCTGTGGAACGGCCCCTTATCTTACAGGACTCCAGGTGTTCCAGCAAGAGCACACACTGAGTCAGCCAGGTGTGGCTTCAGGTCCACGCTGTCCCTTCCCTTGCTGGCCAGCTGGCCCTGCGCAGGTTACTTCACCTCGTGACCCCAAGCTTCTCCTCTAGCCAAAGTGACCAGATGTTACACCGGGGGCTGGGTGGCCTTCCTCTGTGCATCATGGGACTTGGATGCTGTTCCTTCTCCATCCCTCCATCTGCTTAGAAATATCTGCCTTCAAGGTCCATGAACACCTTCTCTTTCTCTGGAAGGTACTCCCGGGGTGAGGGGAGAGGAGGGGAGGCAGGGAGAACTGGGGGGGGGGGGGGGGTTAACCCCCTGAACCCCCATTCCTGTTCTCCCCACCATCCAAGCAGCCCCCACACTCATCGGACTGACCCAAGCAGACACAAGCCCCAGACACTTGGTACAGTTTTATTCAAACTCCAGACGCCCAGGCTTGGCCTGGCAGAGGGTGTGTTCTTGCCGGTGGCAAAAAGTGATACAGCACGTCCGTTAATACTAATCGTTTTAATTTAAATTAATAGCATTTCTGGAAGACAAATGCGGTTGGTAGAAAATATAAAAACTTCTCCTGTACAAAATTTTACATCACATTCAACACAGCGAGTGTGCGCCTGGCGGCCACCAGAGACGCAGGGGGTGCGCGCTGGTGAAATCCCGGCCGACGTCGCCGAATCCCACAGGCTTCACAGTTACGTCTCCTCCTGCCCCCAAATCAACACCGAACACAGGCTCACAGGGCGCCACGCCCCTCCGAGGTCACAGGAACCGCTGGGAGCCGGCAGAGTCCAGGGCCCCGGCCCATCTTTAGTTTGGTGACGTGGAGAGGTCACTTTGCACCGCTCACGACGAACAGGGAACTCTGGGACTCAGGACCTCAGGTTGGATGGAGGCGCAATGGCTGCGGCTCTGGTGGCTAAAGGCAGTGGGGACACAGACCCCAGGACTTAGGGGGGGGGTGGGGGGGCCTGAAGGGCCAATGCTTGGGCTCCGCTCTGACCCCGTGCGGACCTCTGCAGCCCCCAGAGCACTCTCCAAGGAGGCCTCCCAGCTTCTCCTTCCCTTCACAGTTGGCCACGAGGCTGAATTCACAGTATCTGCCGACCTTCATGTTTCCAAGGCAGGAAGGGAGCACACCCGGAGGGCCAGCACGCCTTCCTAACCTCACTCACAGTCATGGAAACCGAGGGGAACAGGGGCCCGTGGGGGCTTCCCGGGTGTTTCTCTTCAATGACAGGAAGTGCAGGCTATGCGTGGGGAGGCTGCCCTGGGCCTTGGAGGAGAACTGCCCCCAGACCCTCAGCGACACTCGTGGGGTTCCTGGCAGACCGTCCGTTCCATCAGGGAGGAGACGGTGACTGTCCGGTCACCAGGCCCCCAGCACGTGCACAGGGCACGGGAGCTGCTCAACGAAAGCTTCTTGAGCTGACCCACGAGTGTCACACTCGTGAGAAGAAAGCAGAACGCAGGCTGACTTTGGTGGGGGAGGAGGTCCCGGGCCCCGGGTGCTCAGCTGCTGTCCAGCCCCAGGGTTCCCCAGCACGGCCTCGGGCTCAGAGGGGGAAGCTGAGAGGCAGCAGCCACACACTATGTGATGTTAGGTGGGGTCTGATGTCAGATTCGTGGTCCCCCATGCTGCCCCCAAAAAACATCCACAACCATGTAGAGGGCTGATGGGGGAAGCCAAAGGCAGGATGGGGAGAAACGGACAGCCCCACAGAGGACAGCCCCACAAGAGCTGAAGCCACTGGTTTCCAGCTCCCGCCGCCCTCCCACACCCTAACTGGGAAGGCGCTCCCGTCTGGAGGGCTGATGGGCAGCGGGAGCCGGGCACCTTGCATTGCCCGCAGCTGTGCTCTCTACGCACGGTTCAGCCAGAACGCTGGCGAGGGGCCCACAGCTCACAGCGTCTGGGCAGAGGCCCGTTTCATATGGCATTTTGGCCAGACCGGGGGCTGCTCTGGAGATTGGGAGCTTTGCTAGGGGCATGAATGAAAGGGGTGGGGGGACCACGTGCCCTCCATCTTGGCTCAGAGCATGGACACAGGTCCTGGGCCTGCATGCGGCCACATGGCCACTCTTCCCGCCTTGGTCATTGCTGGTTGGGAGCCTGAGAGGACAGAACGCCCACTGACGGGCTTCTTTGCCGCGTGGGACGTGTCTCTTTAGGCGGCAGCTTCTAAGGAAGACGGGCAGGAGGCTCTCTCATCACGGGCTGTCCTTCGGGTCAGACAGAGGCCTGACTTGGTGCTGGGAAGGCTCTGGAGAATGGGGGGCCCGCCCCCCATGTTAGCTCTGCACCCGGACAGCAGGGGAGCAGGAGTGGGCTGAGGGGCTTCAAGAGCACCGGGACCGGGGAAGAGATGGGCGGCTCCAGGCCTTGGGGTGACAGGATGGGTTTCCAAGGGGCCAGCCAGGTCACCCTGTGGCTGGGAGGTGGGGTTCGGGAACCCACTGCTGCTTCTGCTTCCCCTGCACCTTCCCTGGCCTCACGGAGCCCTCATGGCACACACAGCCTTGGCTCTGGGATTCGGGAGCCTGAAAAGCCGAGGCCCCGGCTGCCGCCCTGGTGGCACGAAGGAAACGCCTCTGCAGAAGGTGGAACCTGGCGGGAGCCGCCGGACCCCTGCAGATGTTATCCGGATGTGATCCGTCTCCGCGTGTCCCGCTGGGACGGGCGGAGCCGCAGGGGTCAGAGGTGAACCCAGCTCTCTGGGATCTGGGGGCCCTCGTATTCCAGCTGGGTTCCCAGCCAGGGCTTCCTCTGCGAGAGGAGGAAGGGACGAGGGGAGACCCCGGCCAAGAGAGAGCTCCCCCCATCCCCCCACCCCGACTGGGTTTAGAGCCAAAGCAGAGGCGAGGTCAGGCCTGTGGTCCCCCATCCTGCCTCCGAAACATCCACAACCAGGAGGCTTTCCTTCCTCCGGCCCAGCGCGGGCTCCCTGCCCTGTGATAGGACTGTCCACAGGGACACCACGGCCGCTGTCCCGGCCGGCCGGCCGGCCGACGGGGCGGGCGCACCGGGGCACAGCCCGCCTTTATTATTACCTATTGGAACACGTGGAGCTCGCTCCGCGGAAACGTACATGTAAACATGGGCTGCCCGTCGGGACGGGTTTGGTGGTTGGTGTTGTCAGGTTAAGAAGCCGCAGGTGCAGCTCGGTCTCCGAGGCCCGAGTGCTTTCTGGGCGCAAACAAGTCCGAGCCCAGCGCGCACGCTCCTGGCTCGTGGCGCTCCGGCGGGCGCTGCTCCCCGTGGCGGTGGCTGTGCGGGTGTTTCAGAGGCACACTGAAAAGGGAGGAACTCGGCGGGGGGAACCGCACAGCTGGCTACATCTTTGGGTTACCGGCCTCCAGGGCGCCCAAGCCAAACCTCTCAAACCGGGGGACCACTTTGCTGCTGTTAATGCTGCGAAGAGGAACAGAAACAAGGGTTACCGGCCCGCCGGCCTCGGCCAGGTCAGGCTGACCCGCGCTAAGGAGGGGGCCAGTTCCGGAAGCTCACCGAGGACCCAGCCCACCAAGAAGGGGGAACGAGTCCACGGCCTGTGGTCTCGCCAGAGCTGCTCCTGGTCGTGCCGGGTCAGGTCGTGCCGGGAGCCCAGCCTCGGCCACGCGTCCCCTGGAGGGCGGCCGCTGGCGCACCTCACAGCCCCCAGGAGCTGCCCAGGGAAGCTCGTTCTCCCAAAGGAACTGGGAGAAGGGACACCCGACCCCAGTTCCTGTGAGAAACGGGCCTCACACACTGGAGAACATCAGGGCCACCTTGAAAGCCAGCCAGCCTCCAGAGACCGGGTTCGGGTCTGGGGCCCCCCAGGAATCTGCATTTGGCAACAATGCAGGGACTCTGGGTGCCCTCCAACCACTCTCCTGATGAGCTGACTCGGGGTCTGGGAATCGCAGTCTGCACTAGGCAGATGTAAAGGGTGGGGGGGTGGGGTGGGGAGATAGGAGCTTTGCTTTCATCAGCGAAACAGTTTGGAGACAGGCCCCCTTGCTTTCAGACGACACCCCTGAGCGCTGCCGAGCAGTCCTTCCAAGCTGGCGTCTTCTACGGCAACAGAACGTGGAGGGTCCCCCACCCGCCGCCCTGCAGAGGGGACGGCCCGGGGCAGCTCTGGAATCGCCCCGCTCCTTGTTGGACGAGATCCCTCCGGTTAACAGCCAAGCAGGTCCCCTCCCCCTGCTCTTTGGACCCAGCCACGGGGAGGCCGACGTGCTGGGGTTGGCAGCGTGCAGGTTGGCAGGGCGGGGGGAGGGCACAGGTCTCACTGCGCTGTTAGTAGGAGGCGGGGCCGCCCGACAAAACACGCTAGCACCCGCAGAGGAAGAGCTAGAGGGGGTGAAGCCACGTCCAGGGCCTTCCGGGAGGGGCTTGGTTAGGGGGTCCTCGCAGACACCGGTTATTCAGGCACACGCAGGCCGTGGAGACGGAGGGGCCGGTTTTAATAACAAACAAAGCAAAAGAGGAGGCGGCCTCAGGAGAGCAGGCGGAGCGGCAGAGGTGGTGTCCCCCGGGTTAGTTGCCCGCGTCTCGGTTTGCGTGTGAGCAGCAGGAGTCGAGGTGCCGAGTGACGATTAGGAGGGAGAGAGCCCCAGCACATGCGAGGCAGCCAGGCCTACAACCTACGGGAGGAGAGAGAAGGGAGAGCAGCGTGAGTGAGAACCGGACCCCACGGGGCAGGGCAGGTCAGGGAGAGGAAGGGGCGCTCCTGTTCCATCCGGGCATGGCAGCAGCGCGGACAAAGAACCATCCCTGAGCTGCCCGCGGCCGGGTCACAGGCTCTGGTTCAGGGGCTGGCAGTGGGCCCTCTGCCCCTCAGCCCTGGACTATGGAGGTGGGCTTCTTGGCGCTCACTGCTTCTGCTCATTGCATTCTTCTGTCAGCTCTGGCCAGAGGGCACCCTGGGGTCTCAGATTATGACCTCGGCTCTCTCTCACCCAGGCGCAAGCCAACACCTGCCACAGGGTGGACTGCGAGAGACATACTGGCCCGCAGAGGCCCTGCGGGTGGCCGTGTCAGCTGCAAGAACATCGCCTTGGTTTATGAGAAAAGCACACACCCAAAGATGAGGCAGCGGGACGCAGGCAGGCAGGAAGCAGGGTGAGCGGAGGGGCGGCTGCACACAGGCAGAGAGGGAGGGAAAGAACAGAAGACACACTATTCCTCCAGAACGGGGCAGGGGTTCTTAAAGTCAGGGTGGCCGTCGCGTCCTTTCCCGTAGTACCGGCTCCGCCAGCGGCTGGGGGTGCCCCGCAATCCAGCGCCAGGTGTGGGGGAAGCGACGTCCGCAGGCGATGCCGTCGGTCGGGGGTGTGGCAGGTGGAGGAGAGGAGCCACAGGAATCAGGATGGCGGGGAGAGGGGGAGAGATGACAGGACAGGCCATCGCATCAGCCACCCCCCGAAACAAACAAACAAACAAAAAAGCAACAAAACCGATGGAGAAGAGAAAGAAAAGGAGAATTAGAGGCTGAGTGTGTAGAAGTAAGAGTCATGAACAGGAAGCTGTGCAGAGGTGCAGTGTCTGTTTGCTTGTCTGTGTCCCCAGTTGGACGGGGAACTCCCTGCTGGCTGAGGCCCGGCCTTGGCCTTCTGTCTGGTCACACAATCCTTTGCACCCAGTACTCAGCAATGGCTGGGTAAGCCCACACCTCGAATGCAACATGACCGCCTATCTGTATCAGACCCTGACCCATCTTAGGAACAGAACAGCAAATCTAATGTTGCACCCTAAAATACAGTATTCTCTCACCACCAACTACTGCTCCTCCAGACCAGCGGTCGGCAAACTCATTAGTCAACAGAGCCAAATATCAACAGTACAACGATCAAAATTTCTCTTGAGAGCCAAATTTTTTAAACTTCAACTATAAAGGTAGGTGCATGGTTATTAACTTAATTAGGGTACTCCTAAGCTGGCCTTTGCTAAAAATAAAAACTCAAGGGGCCAAAGAGCCACATGTGGCTTGCCGACCACTGCTCCAGACCATCCTGCAACTGGCTACTTGTATCTCCTGCTCGGCGACCCATTCAGGTCCTCCCCTCACCTACAACTTGAAGCCGGTTGGTCTGGTTTGTTTTCAAGAGGGGGGCTAGCAAACCAGTGTAAGCCAAATCTGACCACAAAAAGCTCTTGACTATTTTAAAGTTATTTAAAACACACACACACACACACACACACACACACACACACACAACAACTAAGAACATCTGATAGAGACCTGCCAGCCTTTCTAGAATAAGAAAGGTAGCGGGATGCAGACAGGAGAGAAGAGGAGAGAGAGCTCCTTAGAATAAGAGGAGAGCTGCTGCCACCACACACCTGGGCAGCAGGGGTGAGCTCAGGTGCTGCCAGGGGCTCAGCGACGTAACCGCAGGGGCCCTGGGGCTGCTGTGGGTGTCGGGCAGACACCCCACTCCCCGGAGAGCAGGCCCGCTTTATCTGTTGATAGGTCAGGGCTGCAGGAGCTTTCTCTTTCAGAAAGCGCCCTTTGCCTTCCTAAAAGTTTGAAGCCATCCATCCTGTCCGGGGGTCCAGCCACACAGGGGCCGCCACCTGTGTCTCCTGTACCAGCCATAAGCTAAGAACGAATGGTCTTACCTCTCTGAATGGTTGGGGAGCGTGGGAATCAAAAGAAGACTATCTCATGATGTGGTGTAAGAATCCCACGAAATTCTCATTTCAGTGCCCAAAGGAAGGTGTGGCTGGAGCACGGCCAGCTGCCCCACACCCGACAGCCCCGCGGAGTCATGGGCACAGGGATTTCCCTGGCAGCGTCACTGCCCCGATCCCAGCGCAGGAGCCGTAACCCGGATTTCCCTCGTGGCTTGCAAAGCCTAAGCCATTTCCCGTGTGGCCTTTTCAAATTTGGGGACCCCCAATCTTGCCCAACCCCCCACTTGTGAAAGCTCTAGAAGCTGAGGCCTGTGACAGGGAAGGAGTCTCGGGGTGTGTGTGTGTGTGTGTGTGTGTCGGGGAGAGGGGCGAGGGGGGAGAGTAGGGGCGCGCAGAGATCTGAAGGTTCTGGCAGAGCGGGCCAGGGGAACAAAGGAGAAAGGGAATGAGACAGAACTCGGAAGAGATGGCTGAGGTTCCCACGGCCCGGTGGAGGCTACCCCTGCATGGTACGGGGCACGAAGGACTGTGTGATTAGACAGAAGCGGGCATGGCCTGCTGGCATCCAAGTGCCACAGAAACCCAGGCCACGCGGTCCCCGTGCCAGGCGGCCGGCGGGGGGACTAGACAGCTCTGTGTTGAGTCTGCACTAGTGTAAGCCACGGCCACTTGGCTAGTTTTGGTGATGCTCTGCACCCACGTCGCTCTGACGTCCTGGCCTGAGTGGCCCTCTCCTAAGCAGCCTCCTCTCGTCCGGGCCTGGCTGGGCCCGGCGTCAGTGCTTCTCTGAGGACAGTGATAGGGATGTTTTCAGAGGAGAGCGGAGACAAAAGGAGTCTCCGGACTAGAGGTGGTGAGGGAGACCCTGGTGTCACTGGTGGGGAACGAGGTCCTCCGGCTAATGTGCTTTGGGTGTTTGCCACAGTCCTGGGCACACTGGGCACCCGGTGCCCTCTAAGATCCCACATGCGGCTACCAAGGCGGCTGGCGGGGTTGGCCGCGGAAGGGGCACTTACTCAGCAGACTTCCAGAAGTGCCCGGGGTGGGAGAGCCGCCGGTTCAGCTTGGGCAGTTTCTCCAGCATATCCATCAGCAGCGTGAAGCTCGGCCTCTCCTGCAGGTCGAAAGCCCAGCAGGCAGACAGGATCTCCTGCGGGCAGAGGCGGCGTTAGAGGGTGCGAGCCGGCTGGGAGGGAGCAAGGTGAGCTGGGGCCTCTGCACCCCCGGCCGGTGGTCCCTGAGCCTCCTGCTGACATTGCCATGACTGGAATTTCAGAAGAGCGCCCAGGCTTCCAGTTCAGATAGAAACGCACAAACCCATCTCCCCTCTATCCTTTTATATATATATATATATATATATATATATATATATATATATATATATATATATATATATATATATATATTTTTATTGGTTTCAGAGAGGAAGGGCAAGGGAGAGACAAACATCAATGATGAGAGAGAATCACTGATCGGCTGCCTCCAGCACGCCCCTTCCTGAGGATCGAGCCCACAACCCGAGCATATGCTCTTGATCAGAATTGAACCCGAGACCCTTCAGTCCACAGGCTGATGCTCTATCCACTGAGCCAGACCAGCTAGGGCTCCCCTCCTTCCTTCTCAGGCCTCCCTGGAATAACGTAACAAAGTTGAATAGCAGGTCACAGAAAAGACATCGACAAGGAAGCCACCAGTTTTCAGAATGGAAATCGGAAGGCGGTGTGCTGACAGGTGAGACACAGATGCTCTGAATGTGTGCAGAGGGCGGCGGCGACAGGTGGGGGCCTCGGCATCACAGGAACGGAGGCTGAGTGACAAGGGCCACATGCGGGGCAGCCGGTGGGAGTGGGCAGCACGGCGGCCCCAGAGCAGAGCCCTGCTCACGGTGGCGATGTGCTGCCTCATCTCGGGGACCCACACATGCACACACACACCTCCCACCCTCCACCCCCGCTTCAGCCTTTTGATTCAGAACTACCTGCGAGAAAACATCCTACACGCACGGTCAGGCTGACATGCCAATGTGACAGCGGAACGTGCACATCCACTTTGCTCCTCACTATGACCGGGCCCTCGGGGTGGCACCAGTTAGGAAAACTGGGAGCCAGGATAAACGGACCCTAAAAACACCGGCTGAGGAAACGGTGCGTGTGTGTGTGGGAGGGTTAGCCATAAAACAAGGCCAGGGCGCCATAAAGAAAGAAACTGAAAGAAAAAGAAAAAAGAAAGAAAGAAAGGAACTGACAAAGTGGAGAAGTGCTTGCAGTGAATCACGTAGCCTCCGAAATGAAACGTTAGGCAGAAGAAGTAGAAAGATCATGGAAACGATCCCCCCGTCCCCCCCCAGCCCCGTTGCAGACCCAGCTCGGGGCAGGGACGAAAGGAAATGGGACAGAAGGTAAAAGACACGGAAACTCATGAGGAAGGACCAAATTCTGTCTGGTGGGAGTCCCACAGGAAAACAAAGACACTCTCAGGGCAGGAAACTAGAAAAGCCACAAACAAGGAATCGTCTCAGAAAGTGGAGGGAAACAGAAATCTTCAGTTGCCAGGGCCCAAATCAGGGGACTCACTGGAGAAAAGATGAAAAGACTCCAGGTGACCCCAGAACACCGCAGTTTGAACTCAACCAACGGGCAGGAAAGCTTTCTGACTTCTTTATTTTTTTTAAATATGTTTTTTATTGATTTTTTTTTATAGAGAGGAAGGGAGAGGGATAGAGAGTTAGAAACACTGATCAGCTGCTTCCTGCACACCTCCTACTGGGGATGTGCCCGCAACCAAGGTACATGCCCTTGACCGGAATCGAACCTGGGACCTTTCAGTCTGCAGGCCAACGCTCTATCCATCGAGCCAAACCGGTTTTGGCAGGGGGAGCTTTCTTTCTTAAGCAGAAGGGTAAACGTGGGGTAATAAAGCACAGAGGCCTGCCTGGCATACATCTGCCCCAGGTCCCCCTGCTCAGGTGTGAACCAAGTGCAGCCAGGCCAGGTGCCCACGCCCTCGCTCCGGCCCTCCCTCCCTCTCCTCGGACAGGTGGCTACTCACCGTGACTTCCTTCCCCAGGCTGACCGAGGCCAGGACGCGCTTCATTCCCTCTCCACTTCCGATCTGCCAGATCAAGGCCTCTGCAGCTTGGTTCTTAAAGGGCCAGTCTCTTGCTTGCAGCTCATACCAAACGGTCCTGTGGAGACCATCATCCCTGCAATGTGAACTCCTGAACCGCTCAGCCCAGCTCACGCCCGGGGCTCCTGCTGCCCATGCCAGGAGCCCAACCGGAGGCTCCAGGATCCTTCTCCAGCCTTCTCCACCCGCCAGGCTTCCCCTGCCAGGTCCTGGAGGCTCCTCCCGGGCGCCAGGGGGTCTGTGTCCCGGTGTCCCCATTGTGCTGGGAAGTCTGAGGCAGCCCAGGCTCTGAGCAGAGATCCTGGTATAACTGTCAACCTCAGGGGGCCTAACGCCTACGTCCAAAGGTTGTTTGAGGAGCAACAAAAATGGCAAACCTGGTGCCTGGCACACCTGGGTGCTTCAAAGAAATGATAAGAAAGGAGGTGGGGTGGGGAGACCACCACCGAGGGAAAGACATCCAAGAGATTTCTGGGTGAGCCCTCAGCCTCTCTGACTGATCTGGACGGGGACCTTCTCTGCTAGCTCCACACTGTCCATGGGGGGCCACTGAGCCACTCTCGCGGGGGGTGTGGACCTGAGGTGTGCTGTAGGTGAGGTGTGCTGTAGGTGTAAAACACACACCAGGCTTTGCGACTTTGTGCGGAAAGGCAGCTCCTTACGTTTTAATTTTTGATTACATGTTGAAGTGATAATATTTTGGAGAATCTGAGTTAAATAAAATAGATGACCGAAAGGGGTTTCATTGGTTTCCCTTTTTTAACGCTCAGAGAAAACTTCCTATCTGGCTCACATTAGACAGGGTGGGGCAGAAGGAGGTTTGCAGTTATTCGTCTGGAAAACAAACAGTAATATAAGAATAATCCGCTTCATGTACTCACAGCTGCAAACCTCCTTTCGCCCCACCCTGTAGTCTCTATTTCTGTTCTGCTCAGTTTCCTGGGGCACCAGAGGCTGCTGGGAGGACATCCCAGAATGAGGGGACCCAGAGGGACAGCTCTTAGTTGTGGTGAGCGTCCTCGCGGACAATGGGTAAGACCTTAGTCCTCATGAAACTGTCCTCCTGGGGAGGTGCCCTTACTCTCCACTTTACAGGCAGGGAAAGGGAGGTCAGGAATGGAGCCACTCACCCAACAAGCAGCGGAGCCAGGCTCAAAGCACACACACACACACACACACACACACACACACACCCCGGCCTCAGAGCCCCAGCAGGAGGGCCTCCTCACCCGAATGCGTAGACGTCAGCAGCTTTGGAGAAGGGCAGCTGATCCTCCTCCTTCCCAGGGGTCATCTCGCGCACGATCTCAGGAGCCAAGTAGCACAGCCAGTCGTGTGACAGCTTCAGCTGGTTCTCACGCCTGGTGGCCGAGAAGCCAGGGCACAGACACAAGGCCTTTCAGAGACTCGCCTGGAGCCACCCACGCCCGGCCCCGAGAGGCAGCTAGCAGAGCCTGCACTTGCCGAGGCGCGGGCCCTTGGGGGGAATGTAACAGAAGAGGGGTGGCTGGTTTTTCTAGGGGGGCCGGCCAAGAAGGGGCACTGGGAGGCAGCTGCACTGGCAGGTGCCTGGCTCTCGGAGCACATCCTGGGAGACTGGAGCACCTCCCTGTGCGGGAATCAGACCCGCTGTGCATCTCAGCACCGGGCGTGGGGCTGGCTCTCCAGCCCAGCTGCCACTCCGCCGGCCGGGAGTCCCCCCACCCCTTGGGGAAATATCACCTGACATCCTTCCTCACATCAGGGACTTGAACCCTGGTTCTCTGCCCAAGCTGGCAAATGTGAGCGAGAAGACCCAGGCTCAAGGGGTCAGCCTGAGAATCAAGTGTACGAGGGGCCTCTAGGTCATCCGAATCTGATTCCGGACCAGAACCACAAAGGCAGGACCGAAGCAAACTGGCCTTTCCTACAGGGAGGGCTGCTCCTCAGAAGCAGGAGTGCCCGGACCCCAGCGGGACCCAGGCCCACCCAGCACCCCAGTTCCTCCCTGTTCGGTCCGGATGCCCAAGGCCCACTCACCGCCCCTCTCGGACCACGCCCGACATCCCGAACAGCCCGAAGTCGGTGATGACCACTTTGCCGTTGTCATAGAAGACGTTCTTGGATTTGAGATCCTTGTGCACGATGCCCTTGGCATGCAGATACCCCATGCCCTGGAAGACAGCGAGCCCCACGTCAGGGGAGGGGAGACGAGGGACAATGACCGAGTGCCCACCGGGGCCAGGCATCGAGCTTTATTTTCACAATCTCATGGAGTGTAACTGTCTCCATGTTACAGATGAGGAAACCCAACTCAGAGAGAGCAGGTCACCTGCTCCAGGCAAAACGCAGCTGCGATCTGGTTTTGGTTTTGGTCCATCTGTGCCTTTTCCGTGCCTCTGTGTTGTCCTCAGACTTAGATACCGTGGGACATGGGGAGGGAGGTGGTGGGGAGCTGGGTGCCAGGAAATATATAAAGCGTGACAAAACCATCCATGTTAAGTCTTGCAGGACCATGTGATCTGAGACCTCTATCCAGGCTTTAAGCAGCCAGCTTGTACCCTAAGACTGGACAAGGGCTCGGGGGCAAGGGCTGGAGGTTACGGGGGGAGGGGACAAAGAGGAATTCTCACAGAGGGTGTCCCCGAGTTCGGGAGGGCCCAGCATCTGTGCTGTCATAGGAGGTCTGGAATAATGGCTGAAATCTGGGGTCCACGTTCCATCTCAGCCCAGATTCTAATTGGCTTGTGCGGCCTCGGACACTCGACTTCTCTGAGCCTCAGTTTCCTCATCTGACGAGCAAAAGGGCGGAGTGGATGCTTTCTAACCAAGGCTCTGTGTGGACTGAACACTGCCTGGCCAGGCAGGGGATGTGGGTGACCTGACGTTGGCATGATCGCTTCAAGGTCAAAGCTGTCTTCTAATGCTAAACCCAGGACTCCCGTGCACCCTGATGCCCTTGGGAACAGGGGCAAGATGCCAGGACTGAAATGCCCGCCCCGTCCGCTCAGAAAGAAGCATGTGTAAATCCACCTCCTGTTCTCCCACTCAAGGTCACCCTTTACACGAAATCTCTCTGGCTCTGAAGTCATTTGGGGTCGGGAGGTGGTGAGTAAATAGGCCAGAAAGGACCAGTGTGAGGCAGAACCAGACAAAACAATGATCGGCAAACTGCAGCTCGTGAGCCACATGCGGGTCTTTGGCCCCTTGAGTGTGGCTCTTCCACAAAATACCACGTGCGGGCGCGCATGTACAGTGCGATTGAAATTTCGTGGCCCATGTGCAGAAGTCGGTTTTCCGCCTGGGCGAGTCTATTTTGAAGAAGTGCTGTTAGAAGAAGTTTAAGTTTAAAAAATATGGCTCTCGCCGAGACCGGTTTGGCTCAATGGATAGAGCGTCGGCTTGGGGACTGAAAGGTCCCGGGTTCGATTCCGGTCAAGGGCATGTACCTTGGTTGCGGGCACATCCCTAGTAGGGGGTGTGCAAGAGGCAGCTGATCGATGACTCTCTCTCATTGATGTTTCTAACTCTCTATCTCTCTCCCTTCCTCTCTGTACAAAATCAATAAAATATATTTTTTAAAAAAATGTGGCTCTCAAAAGGAATTTCAACCGTTGTCCTGTTGATATTTGGCTCTGATGACGAATGAGTTTGCAGACCGCTGCCCTAGACAAAGGGAGGTGGAGGCCACTAGAGAAGACCTCAGCCCATTTAAAAAAAAATTTTTTTTAATAACCCAATGGAGACAGCAAGACTGAGGAGACCTATTCCTCAGCCAACGAAGACCTGTCGGGTCTAAATCAGTAAGCGATGTTCCCTGTCCTGCGTGTGAGCCTGTACAATGGGCGCCCGCTCTCGAGAGTGTTATTAAAAGTCTCATTTCGCCATGCTTCTGTTTCCGAGTCCACCATCTGGAAGGTGGACAGGGAGCCATTTCTCACCCCCTGCAGCTCTCCCCAGCCTCTCTGAACTGAGAGGCTCAGGGAAAGCATCAGGTGGTGTTTTGGTTTTGGGGGCTTCAGGCGTTTAACGCAGTAGCTCAGCCACATGGAAACGTCACGGGGAAATCTTGGTTTGTCCATAAAATAAGTCACTGTGATGTCTAACTCTTCCTATTAAAAGTCATGCCCCCTAAGGGACAGAAGGCGGGAGAGGGGGAAGAAAGGAAAGGAGGCGGGGCTCAGGCAGGAGAGAAGGGAAAGGCGGAAAGGGGCCCCAACTTGGGGGGAGCCGCTGGGAAAGCTTCTCGGCAGAAAACAAGGAAAGAGGGGCTCCCGCCCGCAGAATTCCAGTTTTTATCTGAGCCTGCTGCTCAATAAAGCAAATAAATAAATAAATAACCTCTTCTTCCATTTTTATGTAACTAACTACTTTAAAAGCATGAAAGACAGAAAAAAGGCTGCCTGTGTTGAGCCCAGGGGCCTGTCCTCATGAAACTTAGATTTGGGAACTGTAAGGCCCAAAGTGTGGGTGCTCCCAGCCCCCCACACCAAGGCTAACAGACTCACCCAGGGCCGGCCCTGTGCCCAGTGCTCTCTCTGCAGGTCATCCCGTGTTACCCTGTGTCCATCCTCCAAGAGAGGTTCTGTTGGTTTCCCCGTTTTATACGGAAGCCAAGGCTCAGAGAGGCTTAAGGGCCTGCCCAGAGTCACACGGCTGATGGGAGTAGGATTCGAACTCGGGCCCTCTGTCGTTAAAGGCAGAGTCTCAGAGGCTCCAGCATCCATTCTCCTTGGAGACTTTTCCTAACAACTAGCCTCTCCCTCCCGGCGCCCAAGGCACCTTCTCCCTGGATCAGGAGGATGGGCCCACGTTCTCTCTGGGTCCTTCCTCGCCTCATGTTTTAGGGGACCAGGCAGATGGGGACCCCAAAATGCGGGCCTTCATCCAGTAACCATGCTGACACCCCTCCACCCTCCTCCCACGCTCCTTCGTTAAAATAAAATCTCTGTGCTCAGAAAACAATAGAAACGATGGTGAGCATCGTCACAGCGAGCCCCAGAGCCCCACGCTGCCCTGTCAGAGCCCCGAAAGGCCAGCTTCCTCCCTGGCCAATCTATTCAATCACTGCTCACCTACTTTCCAGCTCGTAGCTCTAACTGGGTAAGACACAGATGGAGGGAAGGCGGGTAGGGGTCCCACCCTTGAGGTACCCCAACGCAGGGGAGAGAGACACACAGGCCGCCAGAGCAGGAGGCCGCCCCTTTACCTTGATGATCTCCTGAGCGATCTGCCGCGTCTTGTTGATGTCCAGCGACGTCTTAGGGTCCCTCACAAACGAGTGTAACGTCCGCCCCTTGCAGAAGCTGTGGAGAGCGGTGGGTCAGGCAGAGGTCTGGGCCAGTGCAGCCTGACCCCAGCCCCCTGGAGCCTGGAAGGAGCCGTGGGGAGAGCTGAGCTCTCTCCAGCCCTGCACGGCGACACCCGAATCCTCGTTGTGTTTTTGTTGTTGTTGTTGTTGTTTTTTTAAAATATATTTATTGATTTTTTACAGAGAGGAAGGGAGAGGGACAGAAAGTTAGAAACATTGATGAGAGGGACATCGATCAGCTGCCTTCTGCACCCCTCCCCCCCCCCCCCCACTGGGGATGTGCCCGCAACCGAGGCACATATCCTTGACTGGAATCGAACCCAGGACCCTTCAGTCCACAGGCCGATGCTCTATCCACTGAGCCAAACCGGTCCTGGCCCGAATCCTCGTTCTTAACCAAGCCTGCCTCCCGTCTCTCTGGGCCTGCCAGGAGGCACAAACACAAACTCACTGCACCCCACCTGTGGTCCAGGGCACGCCCACCCAGAACAGGAAACTCCGTTCACCCAGCTCCGGTGATCTCCAGCAGCCCACCCTCCGAGTGCCCGGCAGGGCCACGCCCACTCACACCCGGAGCAGAGTGGGAGGAAGCTGGCCTTTCGGGGCTCTGACAGGGCAGCGTGGGGCTCTGGGGCTCGCTGTGACGATGCTCACCATCGTTTCTATTGTTTTCTGAGCACAGAGATTTTATTTCAACGAAGGAGCGTGGGAGGAGGGTGGAGGGGTGTCAGCATGGTTACTGGATAAGGGCCCACATTTTGGGGTCCCCATCTGCCTGGTCTTCTAAAACATGAGGCGAGGAAGGACCCAGAGAGAACGTGGGCCCATCCTCCTGATCCAGGGAGAAGGTGCCTTGGGCCCCCGGAGGGAGAGGCTAGTTGTTAGGAAAAGTCTCCAAGGAGAATGGATGCTGGAGCCTCTGAGACTCTGAGAGCAGATGAGGGGTCCAGAGTATGGGCTGGCAGTTCCTCAGCGGTGCCCCAGCGCCTTTGGGATCATCTAAAGCACGCTGACCTCTCGTCAGTGAACGCCCTGCGATGTCACTAGATAGGCTTTCCTTTTTTTTTTTTTTTTAATATATATTTTGTTGATTTTTTACAGAGAGGAAGAGAGAGGGATAGAGAGTTAAAAACATCAAGGAGAGAGAATCGTCCATCAGCTGCCTCCTGCACACCCCCTACTGGGGATGTGCCAGCAACCAAGGTACATGCCCTTGACCGGACCTCTTATGGGGCTGGGTGGGTAAGGGATGGAAGGATGGGAGGACGGACGGACGGGCAGCGCTGGGGGCTGGGACGTGGGGGTTGTGGGGCTGGCGTCACCGCGTGAGGCTGCCTAAGGAGCCACGCGGTCGTGCTCGGGGCTGGCACTTTGTCCCCGGGCGTGACGGCGGGTGACCTCACACAGCTCAGGAGTTCTGGTGACTTATGCCTGTTTCTGATAAACAAGCAAAAGTGGGGGGAGGGGAATGCATCCATGTCCAATCACTATGCTGTACGCCTGACACTAATACAATATGGTGTGTCCACTATAACTGAAAAGCAAATTTAAAATAAAAAAACAACTTGCCTAAACCGGTTTGGCTCAGTGAATAGGGCATCGGCCTGCGGACTGAAGGGTCCCGGGTTCGATTCCGGTCAAGGGCATGTACCTTGGTTGCGGGCACATCCCCAGTAGGGGGCATGCAGAAGGCGGCTGATCAATGATTCTCTCTCATCGATGTTTCTAACTCTCTATCTCTCTCCTTTCCTCTCTGTAAAAAATCAATAAAAAATATAAATAAATAAATAAATAAATAAAAATAAATAAAAAATAAAATAAAATAAAATAAAATAAAATAATAAAACGTCCACACTCTCAGGGGCGTCCACGTAAGCATCAGGGCCCCAGGGAAGGCGGGCGGAGGCGGGCACCCCGGTGAGGACGGGGCGGGGTGGGGGCGGGGGTGCCGGTTACCTGGTGATGATGGCCAGGTGGGGCGGGTTCATGCAGGCCCCCATGAAGAGCACCACGTTCTCGTGCCGCGTCTGCCGGTAGTTCATCACCTCCTTCTTGAACAGCTTCAGGTGGTCCTGGTTGTGGCCGTCCATCTCCAGCAGGCGGATGGCCACCTCGCCGTGCCAGCGGCCGCGGTGCACGCGGCCCCAGCGGCCCTGCCCGATGGGCTCGCCCAGCTCCACCTGCTCGAAGGGGATGTCCCACTCCTGCAGGTACACGCTGGTCTGGCTGGCCTTGCGGGAGATGGGGCCGCGCCAGGTGCGGCGGGCGCTGGGCAGGTCGTCCACCTCGTCCTCGTCGTCCTCGGCCTCCGACTTGCCGGCCTCCGGCTCCTCGGCCTGGAAGGGCGGGAGGAAGGAGCTGAGGGGCGGCGGATCCGGGCTCCGCGGACTCCCCCCAGCCCCTGGAGCCCCGATCGGGTGAGGGAGGAGGCCTGGGCTCCGGTGCCAGCCTGGCACTGGCTTGTGTGGACAACAGGCAGGTCACTGGGCAACAGGGAGCTTCAGTGTCCGAAATACGGGGGGTCCTAGCATGCCAACAGCTCCCTATGAGTGCCCTCTAATCTCTGGGGAAGAATTTAAACACATTCGTGCTTCCTGGGTGTTCTTCTATTTGAGCACAATCTCCTCCCTCTCCTGTGGGCAGGAGTTAGTCTGTTAACATTCCGCTCCCAGCCAAACCGGTGTGGCTCAGTGGATAGAGCATCAGTCTGCGGACTGAAAGGTCTCGGGTTCGATTCCAGTCAAGGGCATGTACCTTGGTTGTGGGCACATCCCTGGTAGGGGGTGTGCAAGAAGCAGCTGGTCGATGTTTCTCTCTCATCGACGTTTCTAGCTCTCTCTCCCTCTCCCTTCCTCTCTGTAAAAAATCAATAAAACAAACAAACAAACAAAAAAAACATCCCGCTCCCATTGCAGAGAGCCAGCTCGGCTGGCACTGTGGTTCAAGGGTCAAGTGGTCTTGGCCTTGGTTAAAATCAGAATCCGCTGGGGAGCTTTGGTAACGGATGTCTGGCCCCACCCTAGACGGACTGAGGCAGAGTCTCCAGGGCTGGGCCCCGGGCCTCCGGGCTGGGGGTGAGAACCATGGGCATGAAGAGCTGACGTTAGCCTCCCAGACAGAAAAGCAAAGGGAGGCTGGCTTCCTCATCCTTCTTCCCTGCCGAGCACACCTGGCACATCTGGCCACACCTAACCCGCTCTACGTGCTGAGCTGGAAGGAAGGGAGGGACGGGAGGGAGGAGGCGCTGCCTGTGGCTCACCTCCACTTCATGATCCTCCGACACGTCTGCCTTCGGCTGGTCGTCGGGCCTAAGAGTAAAACTGGGCTTGTATGAGGAGACCCTGGGGGCGGGCCACTCCGCTTTCAGCCGGGCCGGGGGCTCCCCTGTGAGGTCTGAGGAAAGGCCACCCACAGCAAACGGAGTCTCCCTTTGACCCACTGGCCCATGGGAAAGGCGGTCTGGATGCTGTGGGAACAGGAGGCCGGGGACCAGGCCCGATTCCCGTCTCCAGCCTCGGCCTCCTCCAGACTAACCCCAGGGCGGCCGGGATGAGGGGTGGACAGGGACCACCAAGGCCCTTTCGGTCTGACAGCCAGGATGGAGGTTCGTTCCAACACAAGCACAGAACTTGGAATGCTGCTTGAGAGTTGGTTCTGGCACATCCTGGCTGTGTGACTTCACGCAGTTTCTTGACGTCCCTGAGCTGACGTTCCCATCGGTACACTTGGGAAGCAGAGTCGGGTGCCTAGCATGGCCTGACACTGAGAAAGGGCTGCATGAGTAGTTTCTGGAACTCTTGAGTACCCTTTGCCCCCTCCTCCTGGGTCAGGTGTACTGCCCCACCCAACCGATAAGAGGCTGATAAATCCCTTCTGGCTGAGCTCAGGGGCCTCGAGGGTGCCTTAGCCCAAGCAGCGTGCCATCTGGCCGGCCCGGGTACGGGGCCACATGCGGCGTGGGAGGTCAGAGGTTCGCGGGGTGGGGAGGAGGGGGTCAGGGGTGTGGATCCAGCTGGCACAAGTCCCCGTGGAGGAGAAAGGGGGTAGACACAGCACGCGAATGCCTACCGGGTGCTGTCCGCCGCCTCGGGGAACGGGGCCGCCGCCGGTGGAAACGCGGAGATGTCTGGAGGAGACAAAGCGCAAACACGCAGCATGAGCCCACCTTCCTGCCCGCGCACAAGGCACTGTGCGTACACCCAGGGAAGTGCGCGCCCCCAGCCGCCCCTCACGGGGCCACACCCGGGTTCTCCTGCCCTTCCCACCGGGGCCAACCGGGAGGCAGCCTCCGCAGCACGTGGCTTGTCCCAGAGGGGCCCCGGTGGGGCTGGGCGAGGAGGATGAAACCTCAGTGACCGCCTTTCCCCTGGGGTCACACTGCCTCCTACAGGCAAGTGGTGGGAGCAGACGGGGCCACTACTTAGGGGATGTGGGCCAGGCCCCTCTGCTCTGCTTGGAGGCCGGGGCTGGTGGCCAGACTCGTTCACTCAGGCCAGCGGAGGCGGAAGAAGGACTCACAGGTGGCTCCTGAGGGGCACCTGGTGCCCGGCACCGGGGCCGGGAATGTCTGGCGGGAGCCGGAGCCCCGCCCCCTCGGCTTCCAGGCTTGGTCCGCCAGCGGACTGCTCGCAGGGGAGAGGGAGAAACACACAGCCCGCACACCAGCCGGGGCTGCCCCGGAGCCCCGGGGGGTGAAACCAGTGTGTCCCATAAGGCCAGGGCCTCCCTAGCGGCTCCTGCTGCCTGCCTCCTTCTGTTTTCTCCAATGCCCTCGAGGAGATGGACAGCCGGGGCCGGCTGGGCCCCTCGCTCCCTCCTCTTTTATCTGCCAAAGGAGACGGACCGGAGTTAGCAGTGGCTCGGGCTAATCGCGCTTCTTCTCCTGTCTCCTAGGACGAAGAGCCTCCCCATGGGCCATCACACCTCCCTCCCCGTCCCTCCAGGGCTTTCTCCCGGGCCACCCCGGGAGGCCCTCTGAGCCACAGCTTCTCAGCCTCTCTGGAAGCTCGCGGACGTAAAGAGCCTGAGAGCGGCCGTGGGTCTGCTTATCAAGGAAACACGCGTGTGCCAACACTGGGGGCACGGTTTCTGGGAGACCCCAGGCCTGGGCTAAGGCCTCCTCCAGGCACCACGCCATCGTGTCCGCAGACTGCCAGGGGGGCCTGGCGTTTCTCCCACCCAACACCGCTCTCATGTTCCCACGGAAGAAAAACACGTGTGGGGTGGGGCTCAGGGAGAAGCAGCACTCCGGTGGGAGGGCAGCACGTCTCTGAAGCCTCCTGCTTTGCCTTAAACTTTGCATTCTGCTCCAAAATGGGTCCATGTTTGTCTCGATAGAAATATAGTTTCCTTTCCCACAACACATCTGCAGGGCAAAATGTGTCCTTTTAGAAGTAAAGGCATGTCAGCCGAAACTGGTTTGGCTCAGTGGATGGAGCGTTGGCCTGCGGACTGAAAGGTCCTGGGTTCGATTCCGGTCAAGGGCATGTACCTTGGTTGTGGGCACATCCCCAGTAGGGGGTGTGCAAGAGGCAGCTGATCGATGATTCTCTCTCATCGATGTTTCTAACTCTCTGTCCCTCTCTCTTCCTCTCTGTAAAATATCAATAAAATATATTAAAAAAAAAAAAAAAAAAGTAAAGGCACGTCTTCCCCATGCTCTCAGGCATTGCCCTGCCCGCCATCCTAGAGCCAGCAGGCTCCTGAGGGAAACCAGGGCAACAACTGGTATGAAACCACAGAGCAGCGTGGGGAGCCTGCGCTGACCCGGCCAGCCTGCACACCTGCCATGCCCTACGGATGATCCTCTAAGAACTGACAAACGCTCCAAGTCACTCCCCTAATAGAAAAGCCTGGGATAACCAAAATACCAGGACTTCGGCACAGGCCTTTTTAACCTAGGAAACAATCAGCTTCAGTCTTCGTCTCAACCGGAACCTTCACATGGCTAAATTAAGGTTTAACGTTGCAGATTACTTATAACCGTGCTTGTCACCTTCAGCTAGAGCAAACTCATTAGCCAACAGAGCCAAATATCAACAGTACAACGATTGAAATTTCTGTTGAGAGCCGAAAACCGACTTCTGCGCATGGGCCACGAAGTTTCAATGGCACTATACATGTTCACCCACACATGGTGTTTTGTGGAAGAGCCACACTCAAGGGGCCAAAGAGCTGCATGTGGCTGGAGAGTAGCAGTTTGCCAACCATGAGCTAGAGAAATAAGGACTGACCATATAAATGCCTTAGGGGAAGGGATATGGTCAAATTCAAAGATGGGCACATAGCAGGTGTGCAAAACAATTTTTGTGGAAGGAAATCCATGAATGATTATCTGATTGCAAGTTTTCTCTTCATTAAAGAGGCATTTCCAGTAAGTGGCCAGCAGATAGCACCATCCAACAAGGCTCAGGAAGGTGAAGCCCACTGAGCAGGGAAGCCTGGGGACCTCCCCAAATTGGCTTCCACTTCTGTGAGATAAGTCGTTTCCGGGTCCTAGCGCAGAGGAGTATACCGTAACAGATGCGCAGAAGGCATCAGCAAGAAGTCCTTCTCTCCCCCGCCCCCCCCCCATTATGCAAATGAGTTCCTGCCACCTCCTGTGTGTGACCCTGGACAAGTTGCCTGTAGTTTCTGTCCAAGAGGCTGGACAGGATGGATGCCACGGCTGGTCCCTGCCAGCAAGGCACTGCCCCTGTGCAGGCTACTCCTCCCCCTGCCCCCTTCCCCAGCCTCGACAGACAGGCAGCTCTCAAAACAGGCGGGTCTGAGACGCAAGCACCTCAGAGGTGCTGAGGGTGAGGGCGCCCAGGTGGGCTGGGCAAAGGGGCCACAGCGGAGGACAGTTAGTGGGACCATGCAGAAGACTCACCTGGGAAGATAAACTGCTGTCTATGATGAATGAAGTAGGCAGCTTTAAACAGAAGAGGAGGTGAGTCACACACAGGACAGCAAATGAAGCGAAGGGGGAGGGGACGCAGGCATGGGCTGGTTATGGGGCTGGGGCAGGTATGCCCCCCGGTGGGCCTGGCCAGGACAGGGTGACCCGTGCAGGAAGGAGAAAAGAAGCTGGGAGAAAAAGCGGGTGCTGGCAGGAGCCCCCAGGAGTGAAGGGGCTTGCGCTGAGGACTGGGGTTCGGAGACCCAGTCCCCGCGGCCGCCCTGCTGCAGAGCCCTGGCCAGTGCGGCCCCCTCTCAGGCCTGCTTCTCTGTGACATGTGCACGGGCCCGGGAGGGTAAAACCAACGGGGCGAGGAATGATTCTGAAAACATGTGCCCGTGGTGCCGAGGGTTCTGAGACTCGCCCTCACCTTCCAGGGGAGAGAATCCTCTCATGAAGGAGGCTCTCGGGGACCTGAACTCACACACAGCCAGCCTCTGACCCCCACTCCGCCATCTGTGAGGCTCTGGGGCCTTGGGAAGCGTGTTAACCTCTCCAGCTGTACCGCACGATGGGGTATAAATAACCTTTCCCTTGGTTATCCTTGGAGATAAGCTGACATGCTCCTGCACAGCAGAGTGGTGGACAGCAGGGGTTTATTTCCAAAATTAAACCCCTCCGACCGGTCCCGGCCGGACACTGCGGTGGCAGAGAGCTGGCAGGTCCCGGAGGGAGCGAGGGCTCGGTGCGGCCGACAATGCGGGCCAGCGCGGGGCAGCGAAAGCCGAGACGCTGGCTGACGTCACACAGAGCGTTTTCTCTTCGGCTGTTTGTTTTTCAAACGGGCCCTTTCTTTTAGAAAAAGCCAAACCAGGAGGTTTAGCAAAAGGCCCGGTTTCAGAGCATGTTAATGGCGAAGCGGAACGGGAGAGGAGGTTAATCAAACAGGCCATCGCTCCACGGCGGGGGGGACGGGTAGGATCATGACGATGCATTAGTGTCAGGAGATACCCAGCCACGTGCGTACTAAGGAGAAGGGACAGCAGAAGAGAAAACAGATTCCTACAAAGTCAGTCGCTCACCACCCTAGAACCCTGCTGAGATGGGCCCAGAGAGGGTGCCAGGCCCCCTGCAGGCTGCGGGTGGCCCAGCTGGGTCCCTTGGCACAGCTCCGTGTAAGGCTGTCCTCCCGGGCCTGGAGTGACAGGCGGGACCTGCCCTGGACTCCATGGCTGATGCTGGCAGTGGGCCCGTGGCTCAGCCGGGAGAAAACTGGAGCCTCCCAGCGCCCCTCCCTCCTCCAGGCTGCCAACTGAAGTGCCCCGAAGGCCAAGACCTACTGCCAGGAGCTGCCAGGAAGGCCAAGGCCGGGGCCCCCCATCCTCACACGGACAAGCGGGCTCCGCTCCTCTCCCTGGGGAGGCAGGACACCCCAGGCCTGGCCAAAAGGGAGGGGTCCTGGCCCTACAGACCCAGGGCAGCCTGGGCTGCGGCAGAGTCAGAGGCCAGCTCCGGTCAGTTGGCCCTGTGGGACTCAGTGTCGTCAAGTACACCTGGGGGATAACTGAATTCCAACTTCATGGGGTCTCTAGTTTTATGGAAAAGGGAACAGACACTTCTGTTTAGGCGGCTGGTTCAGATCTCAGAGCAGATAAAGCGACAGAGGCCGCGATCCCCTCTCCCAGGCCGCCTGGACCTGCCCGGGCTCCCTGGGAGCTCAGATGCCCGGAGCCAGTGAGCAAGTCCAGTACAGCTCAGGGCAAGTCACTTCCTCTCTCTGAGCCTCAGTGTTCCCGTCTGTAAAATGGGTGCAATAATAGCATCTACCTCAGGGTTGTAATCAAGTTTAAATACGGTAATGTAACTGAGCTGGGCACAGTGCCTGGCTCCCCACCAGTGCTCTCAGTGGCTGTGGTGTTTGACCCTGAGCCTCTTGGGGTGTGCTGAGAAGATGCATGTGAACCCCATCCCTAAGACCCCCGCCCCCCCCCCCCCCCCCCCGAAAAGCCCAGCGGTGTGGTACCTGGGAAGTTGAACCTGCTGTCCCGCTGGCCGGGCGAGGGGTTGGGGGGTGTGGTGGCACTGGATGGGTTGGAGGATGTTGGGAAAGGAGCCGGCGAGGAGGGCGTGGAGGACGTGGTGGAGGACGGGTTACTGCTGGAGTCCAGGTGGTTTATGGCTGGAGGGTGCTCCTGCAGGGCCAGAGACACGGGGAGTGGGCAGGGACTGTCACTGCCTCGCCCGGCTGCCTCCCACGCCCCCAGCCGGGACCCTCCCTTCCCCGGGGAAACGCAAAGGGGTCAGCCCAGGGGACCCTGACATTTTCCGGTAAAGATGTCGATGTACCGTTCTTCCTTCGAACATTAGGCCTAACAGACACCTAGCACCCCTGTGCACGGGGGCCCCAGGCAGGCCTGGGGACCACCATGAGGGACACGGCCTTTGAGAATCTGTCCAGCTGCAGGGCGTCTGGGCATTAGGCGAGAAGCCCGGCCACGGGCCACGGGCCACGGGCCACGGGCCACGGAAAGACACGCACGCGCACGGGTTACTCCTGAAGCCCGTGGGCCGCACTGTGACTGCGGCGTGGGCTCAGGGCTGGGCCTGCGTCTCACTCACAGGGGCCCCAGTGCTTGTCTCCCTCGTCTGTAAAACGGAGGTGATGTCACCGCTGGAAAAGTTCCTGACTCGCCGGCAGTGAAATCTCACTCCAAAAGGGAGCGTTGGGGCAGGGAACGGGTCACACGCCTGTAACTATAAATGCGAAGTTTGCTCCGTGGCTAAAGATAGTGCAGTCCTCTGTGGACGGCACTGTCAGGCAGGCTGGGCCCCGCATTAGGGGGCTTCACAGAGAGGAATCCAGGTGGGGGGGCTCTCCGGGCAGAAGCAACAGACCCCCAGGCCACTGTCCGACGTACCTTCTTGGTCAGTGCTTTGGGGAGGGTTCCGAAATGGGGCTCGGCCGCCCTGACCACCGGGTTGTTGATGTCCGAAGGGACGGATTCTGTCCTCCGAATCCTAGCTACTGAAGAGGGGAAACCATCAATCAGCAGGGGACAGACTGAGCCAGACAGAGCGAGACTGGCCCCGAAGGCAGGAGGCACAGGAGCGGCGGGCACAGCACTCACTTGGAAGGAAGGAGATCCGGCAGGCGGGGGCCTCCTTTGTGCACTTGTTGTGACACTTCAACCTGGTGGAGGAGGCGGGCGGGGTCAGTGCGGGGACGGCCACGCGGCTGCCCTGGGCTCGGACGGGGGCGCAGAGAGAGGCATCGCCTGGCAGCCCCGTGCACCTCACTTGGACGCCCCGATTCCCACAAATTTCTCCACAGACATTAGCCCCGAAATGTAGAACTGATGCGAAAAGTCCTAGCAGCTGCTGTCTGCTGAGCGTGACCACATGCCTGCTGCTGTCTGTCCGTCCCAGCGCACGGGAGGTCTGCTTCTACTAAGGTGACCAGATGTCTCGCTGGTCACCTTAGTAGAAGGTGGGACGGTCCCGATTTTTAACAATCTGTCCAAAAATCTTTTTTTTTTTTTTTTTTTTTTAACAATTTGTCCCGCATCCAAAGACTCTTTCCAAAAATCGGGACTTTTTTTTAAAACGCCGGGGGACGTGGGACAAACTGTTAAAAAGCGGGATGTCTGGTCACCTTAGCTTATACCCATCTGAGTCACGGTGGGTCCCACGTCTGTTTCTCTTCTCCAGAGAATGTGTGCACCCCCAAAGGATGCCCCAGGGGTGCGGGGGCAGCCCCTCCTCCCACCACATTCCACACGGACCATGTGGTCGGAGGGTCAGCCGGGCGGGGCCAGAGTGGAGAGGGCTGGGTCCTCGTTCTGGTTCTGCCTGCAGCCCTGTGTCTGGGGGTTCTCCCGCGGGACCTGCCAACCACACACTGCAGCTGCAGCGTTGGGCTCAGAGGTCACCCTTCCCACGTGAAAGGAGCCGGAGGCCCCCAATTCAAAGCCAAACGGCTGGGAGCCACCACAGACCTAGCCTGATACCTCCTCGGTGGTCAGGAGAGCCGCCAGGAAAACACGATTTAGCCAACTGACACAGACGAGGCCCGTCACCTACAGGCTGGTGGGAACCCACATGCTTTTTTCACTCCGACTAGCTCAGATTCTTAGAGCCGTCCTGATGGACAGAGACCCGGGACCCTCTTCCTAGATGCATAAGTGACAAGAATGGGGCCCAGAGAGGGCAAGCACCTGGCCCCACGTCACACAGCAACGCAGGGACGAAGGGGGTGGGAGCAGAGACTCCAGGTCCACCCTCTGCAAGGGGAGGGCAGACAGGAAGCAGGGCTCAGACCCTGCTCACCCCACACTGTTCCCTATCCTCGTCCTTCTCTCCTACCAGGAACCACAATGGCCTGAAAAAAAGAAAGTCGGGATGAAACCGGTTTGGATCAGTGGGTAGAGCATCGGCCTGTGGAATGAAAAGGTCCCAGGTTCGATTCCGGTCAAGGGCATGTACCTTGGTTTCGGGCACATCCCCAGTAGGGGGTGTGCAAGAGGCAGCTAATCCATGACTCTCTCTTCGATGTTTCTAACTCTTTATCCCTCTCCCTTCCTCTCTGTGAAAAATCAATAAAATAAATTTTAAGAAAAGAAAGGAAGTTGGGCTTGAACAGAATCTGCATTCTTTCCTTCTAGAAGTGCCACAAGCCATCGCTGTCCTCACCATAGCCTACCCCCGTTGGCTGTCCTGGTGTGCTAAAACGTGAGGCCCATTTCAGGACTCCTCGCCGTTCCCGAACGGTCCTCCCATTCCTCTCTGCCTTTGTTCAAGACACGTCCTTGGCCTGGAACCCACGTTCCTCATTGTCCACCCGGCAAACTTCTGCACATCCTTCAAAGCCCACCTCGAGGCGTCCCTTCTCTGGGAGTGCCCTGCTTCATGCTTCCCTCCTCTCCCTGCAGGGGGCTGCTCCCTCCTGGGTGAGCTGAATGGGATCATGAATCATATAGGTTGACCCTTTGAACTCTGACTTGACCCAAGGCCCATAATCCAGGCGTGGGGCAGTGACTGGGCGAGTGCGAGGCTCGCTCCCCTCTCCCGCCCCGGCCACCCTCGCCCGGCACCTGCAGTGCTTGCACTTCACTCCAAACATCATGCTCTTCTGGCACACGTGGCAGACCTGTGACAGCCAGGACTTGGTGGAGAACCTGCAGCGGGGGACACGCAAAAGCGCTCTCAGGGGCCAGGGAGGGAAGCAGGGCCTGGGTTGACAAGGGCCCCCAAACCGCCCAGGGGGATCAGGAGACTTGGTTCCCACCCAGAGCCCCGGGCACCCCCTCGCTGGGAGTTTGGGACACCCAGGGGGCCACTGCCTTCCGTTCCCGCCCCCTTCCCCCATTTGGACTGTCCAGCCACGAAGTCATCATTGTCAAAATCCCACGCTGGTGTGGTCACAGGCGCCACCTCTTAGGCAGCCAATGTGGTGAGAGCAACCAGCAGGACCAGCGTGCAGACCCTCTGAACCAGCCATCCGCCTTAGGACCTGGCCCAGCAGATCCTCCCCCTGGTGGAACGTGACAGACGGACCAGACCCCCATGGCCATCACCCTCCCCAGCACACGAGTGCTGGCCCCTGGGGGTTGTTGGAGACCCAGATGCCCGGCCTCGACCGCAGGGGTGGGGCCCGGAGTCTGGAGCGTCAACAAGCTCAACGGGGCGCCCGTGTGTGGACAGGTGGCACGATCCACACGGTACCGAGTGGGACCCAGAAGCAGTTCTTGGCTCCTCCTCCCCGAGACCGTGACCCTGCTTCTCCCGGGACCCATGTTTGCCCTCGGCAGACTGCGGAGGTGCAGGGGAGGGCCTAGCGCGTCCACGCGGCCCGCGGGGGACGGGCTAGGGGCGCGGGGCTGTGTTCGCGGAGGTGATGGAGACCGAGCAGAGGCAAAGAGCCGTGAGCAACAGGGCCGGGCCTACCTGTGTGTCACCGAGATCCCGATGTCCCTCTGTACCATCTGCGGGGAGCCGTGGGGGAGATCTGCAGGGGAAGAGGGAGGTCAGGCAGCCGAGGAAGCCCTGCGGCGAGGGCCCACACCAGTGACCTTCTATGGCAGAGAGGGCAAGCTAGACGGGCACAGGGATGTACCGAATGGCAGAGAAACGTCCCCGGACCCGCATTTATCAAAACAGGGACAGGTTGCCCTAACCTGTTTGGCTCAGTGGATAGAGCGTTGGCCTGCTGACTCAAGGGTCCCAGGTTCGATTCTGGTCAAGGGCATGTACTTTGGTTGTAGGAACATCCCCAGCAGGAGGTGTGCAGGAGGCAGCTGACCAATGTTTCTCTCTCATCGATGTTTCTAACTATCCCTCTCTCTTCCCTCATGTAAAATATCAATAAAATATATATATACATTTTTTTTAATAAAAAACAGGGACAGGACAGGCTAGACCAGGGCGGCGGGGCCACCCTCACACATGGCCGCTTCTCTAACAAACACTGCTGCCCGGCGGCCTGTATGGTTCTGGCGTTGGGGGGAGGCCGGCGTGAGAGGCAGGAGGCAGAGCGTGTGAGGGCAGAGGCACTGTCTCATGGACGCACCCCCAGGCCACCCGTTGGCGAGGGCTGCATTCTGGTCACTTCTTGTTCAGTGGTGGGAGCCGCCTGGCCCTCGGCAGAGGGTTTGAGGCCGGTGAGCTGGGCCGCAGCCACCTCTGGAGCCTTGATGATGCCGCTGAGAGCTCCCATATGGCCTGGCCTCACCTGGCACTCAGTCTGGGTCTTTGGGGGAGTCTCAGGCCACGGGCTGTGGGGTGCTCCTTCTGCCTGTCCCCCGAGAGGGCACTCTGGGCTCCCCTCCTAAGCCTGGCTTCCCCAGAGGAACAGGCAGCCCCAGGGCTTACAGCAGCACAGGCTGGCAGCGGAGCGACAGCTGGAAGCAATCCCCCCATCCAGGGGCAGCCTACCTACACAACAAACTCCCCCCCATGCCTCTCTCTCTCCCTCCCTCCCTCCTCCACACCCCTCCTTCCCAGCTCCGCACTGCCTCGCTCCTCCTGGAATAGAGTCCTCAACTGGACCCATGGGCGGGTCTGGAAAGAGGTTCTGGGCTTTCATCCCATGATCAGACACTGGGACCCAGAAAGGTCGGCAGCACGGTGCTTTAAGGATTCGGGCCCTCTGAGTCAGCAGCCCTTCCCCTAGGCCACGGCACCCTCCCGGGCCCCCGAGAGCCGGCCTGGCACACAGCTGGTGCTCATTAAGTGTCGGTTCACGTAAGGCCACCACAAACCCAACCGCAGGGAGAGGGCACGCTGAGTGCTGACTCCGCCCACACGGGGACCAAAGGCCTTTTGCTGCCCCGAGGCAGGCCCCACACTGCACCCCCCGCAGCTCTCGCCAGCACATCTGCCACACGCTGACTCCTCCCAGCTCCCTCCTGGGGTTCACCCCAGGCAGCAGCCACGCCATTAACACACAAGGTCTAAAAGGGGGTTAGGTGGCCCGGCCACTGTGGCTCAGTGGTTGAGCGTCAACCTATGAACCAGGAGGTCACAGTTCGATTCCCGGTCAAGGCACGAGCCTGGATTACGGGCTTGATCCCCAGCGTGGGTTGTGCAGGAGGCAGCCGATTAATGATTCTCATCATTAACATTCCTATCTCTTTCTCTCCCTCTCCCTTCCTCTCTGAAATCAATAAAAATAGATTTAAAAATAAACAAACAAATAAATAAATAAATAGATGGGCTTAGGCTGTCGGCCTAAGACAGTGGTCGGCAAACTGCGGCTCGAGAACCACATGCAGCTCGAGAGCCGCGGTTTGCTGACCTGTTGACTAATGAGTTTGCCGATCACTGCTAGGGAAAAACACTTTAAAAAAAAACATTTTAATAATGTACTAATGCCTTTAACCTGAAGTCAAAACTTCTGGGTAAGGGTAATGCCTTACGCAGTGGTTGGCAAACTCATTAGTCAACAGAGTGGCAAACCGTGGCTCTCGAGCCGCAGTTTGCCGACCACTGGCCTAAGAGGAACAGGCGGTGGAGAAGTGGGGTTTCTTTCGATCATCAATCTCTGAGTGGAGCCTGTGACGGATCTGCAGTGTCTGCCACAGGCACAGGACGCAGAGAGGAGAGAGGGCACATGTGCCAGGCATCACCTGCCCCTCATGAGATGAAACGCCAGCCCTGCAGGCCTCATCCGCCTTCCCACAGCTGGAGAAGCGGCCTCACGGCTGTGGACCCTGCATCACCCAGCACCCAGACTGCCCCGGGGATGCAGGCTCTGTGAGGGCCCCACACTCCCCCGTGCCCGGGGGAGGGGAAGCGAGGTCCCCCTGCTGGTCCTGCAGCCAGCCCAGCTCCATCTCGGCAAAGCCAGTACCTGGCATCCCCCCCTCAACTCTCTGCTTAGCCTGCTCAGCACAGGACAAAGGGAAACTGCTCCTGGGCTCAGGGGGAAAGAGGATCTGCGTCCACTGGGACCATCCAAGCAGCCTCGAGGCTCACGTTTCCGCTGCGTTGACTCGGGAGAGAGAAGCCCCACAGCGAGGATCTGTTCCCACCGGAGGTAGAGGGGAGGGAGTGGAGATCAGGCTGCCGGGCTTCCTCCTCGCCGCCTGAGGGGGCAAACCTCTCAGGGCCTCACTCAGAGGCGAGCGGCTTCCCGCCCCAAGAACGTCCCTCTCCTGCGGAGCCGGGCCCTGACACCTCAGCTGGGGTCTGTGGGCGGTGGCTGATGTCCACCTACGCCAGACAAGGTAGCACCTTCCTCCGGGGAGTGCGGGGTTCCCACCGCAGCCCAGCGGGTCAACACTCCCTGCCCGAGGTCGCCCGTGGGGCGGGCCGGGTGCAGAGGGCCTGCCCTGGGGCCTGCCCATCGACTGTGAGTGACAGAGAGGCCGCGGGCTGGGCTGAGGCCAGCTCGTCACGTGGGGGCCGCCTGCCCTAGCGTGATGTCCCGGGGCAGTTCCCAGCTCCTCGGCTTCTGGGCCACGGGAAGGCCAGGTGCACTAAGAGAGGGTCAGAGGCATCCACCGATGGGGACAGCGAGACACACCGCTTGCTCCCGGTGGCAGAGGGGACGAAAATGAATCGCGCTTACCAAACCTGGAGAAGACAGAAGAGAGAGAGAGAAAACGCAGGGTTAGGGCACCGTGCTGGCTCCACGTGTCCCCCCAGAACATCGTCCCTGGGAGGGAGGGGGCAAGGCGCTGGATGAGGGCTTTGAGCCCCTAGGGGTGTCGAACTCAATCAGAGAAGGGGCCAAAATCTAAAATCCAGCCTAAATCGCGGGCCGAATGGTTTACTGAACAGTCATAAACTGTCATTTTGATGGAAACGCAGCGGAGTGCAGTGATGACAGCGAGGTGCGGGCCACATTGCAAGGCCTGGCGGGACGGATTCGGCCCTCGGGCCTTGTGTTTGACACATGTGCCTAGGATGTGGGGCTAGGACAGCTGGGGGATGTGGGGGGACAGTTCCCCAATGGGAAGGGCTAGAAGTGCCCTCCTGGCCCCCCAGTGGGCACAAAGCTAAATCTGTGCCCTCTCATACATCAGCTTCTCTGAGCCTCACCGCCACCAGCAGGTGATTAGAGTCCCCCAGGCAGGAGGAGGGCTCAGTCTGCCCGAGAGGAATCGTCGGGGGCAGGAGGGCAGGGAGAATGGGGTGGAGCAGAAAGCCAACCTCCACGCAGGGCCAGGTGGGGATGTGTCCTGAGCCACGCTGTCAGAGGGATAAAGAGAGCTGGGGGAACCAGGCCACTCAGCCTGCCCTCGGGGCTCTCTGAGGGCAGCAGGGTGGCCTGAGTGTCCATGCCAGTGTCCGTTCTGCTGGCTCTGTGGAGAAGAGACTCAGAGCCCCAGGGTTCAAGGCCAGCACACCAGTGGTGGGACCTGAGGCAGAGGTGGCACCTGCCTGAGGCTCTGTTCTCCTCCTGGAGCCAGGATGAGACCAGAGCCCTCCTGATGCTCTTTGTGGGGAAAATGAGAAGCGGACGACACCCTGGGTTTTTGCCCACTGTGATGCCCAGATACACTCTGCCCATGAGGGTATATTGACAAAGGCAATTTTTGTAATAATTGCTACAAAAATGACAATGACCTCAATATCCATCAAGAGGGAATGAGTTAAACTATATAATGGAATGATATAAAAATGAGACAAAGATGAGGCATTTGGATAACTATAACCATATACAGAACCCATAACCTGTTTGCTCCTGGGTAACTAAGGAAATAGTAGGGGGTCACTTTATACTATACACCCCTAAAAAGATGAATGAACTACATGGGCTACGAAGCTTTTGCATTTGGGCCATGTAACTGTTATTACCTGTTTTAAACACAGATTAAAAAATATATTAAAAAAATAAAAGAGTACTGACACGAAGTTCTCAAGGTATCAAGGTAAGTTGAAAAAATAGGTTATATAGGACAGAGTGCATGGTGTTTATCATCCCTAGAGGGTACAGCCAGATATTCCATTCTCTTCTGGGCACATGGGAGTTACGTTTCCTGGTTCCTTTGTTTGGGTAGGATCGTGAACGGTGAGTGGACCTTTCAGGAAAGAGCGCTGCATTGCTTTCTTCCTCTGCCACAGTGGGACATTCAGCATGGGACCTGGAATGGGCCGACCCATGATGGGCAGGTAGCATGAGCAAGAGATAAATCTTTGCTTGAAGACCAGGGACCTGGGGGCTGTTTGTCACTGCAGCATACTCCAGTCTACCCTGACTGATGCATGGCATCATCTCATTTTGTGTACTTGTGTGTCTGTCTGTGCGTGTGCACAAAGGAAATCAAGGAAGATTCAGCCCAAGTGGTTAAGGTAGTCTGGGGAGTAGAATGAGAGACAGGGGTACCTTTCACGGTACAGACTTACATGTTAGTTGATTGTATGACCTTTTCCCATTGATTCTATATTATCTTTATAATGAGAAAACTGTAGTCAAAACTTTCAGGGGATTGTAAATTCAACGACTGCCTGGCTGGAGTACTCACCTCATGGGGGAGACCTCATCGATGCGGTTCCCCAGCTGAGACTCATGGGACTTGCTCCGGGTGAGCGTGGGGAAGCTGGGCAGCAGCTGGAAGACCTTGCGGCTGGGCGGGGGTGGCGTCCGTGGCGGCTTCAGCTTGGTGTGCCGCCGTAGCTGGGGCGTGGTTGGGGGGGTGATGAAGCTGTGCAGGGCGCGGGGCGTCAGCCGGCCACTGGCATGCAGGGGGATATAGGTGTCCGTGAGGCCCTCGCCGGGCCCAGGCGTTGGGAAGTCCGAGGTGGGCAGAGCTGACACGGAGACGGAGCGGGGGCCCTGGGCATTGCTGCCCATCCTGCCCAGCTGGCCGCTCCCCGGGGGCCAGGGCAAGCTGGCCGGTGAGAGGGTGTCCGTGGAAGGCCCTGAGCCGCTTTCCCGCCGGGCATCCAATGCGCTCCAGCCCAAGTCCTCTTTGTGCTCCCTTCCTGTGGGCAGAGAAGTCGAGTCATAGGAGGCTGGGGCTAGAGCCGTGGTCGGCAAAATTGCGGCTCGCGAGCCACATGTGGCTATTTGGCCCCTTGAGTGTGGCTCTCCCACAAAATACCACGGCCTGGGCGAGTCTATGTTGAAGAAGTGGCGTTAGAAGAAGTTTACGTTTAAAAAAATCTGGCTCTCAAAAGAAATCTCAATCGTTGACCTGTGGATATTTGGCTCGGTTGACTAATGAGTTTGCCGACCATTAGGCTAGAGGCATGTACAGGTGAGGTGGCTCGGGCCCAGAGAGGTTAAACACCCTGTCCAAGGTGGCACAGCTCCTTTTATTAAAATTTTTAAAAAATATATTTTTATTGATTTCAGAGAGGAATAGAGAGGGAAAGAGAGAGAGAAACATAAATGATGAGAGAGCATCATTATTGGCTGCTTTTTGCACGCCCCTCTCTGGGGATTGAGCCCCCAACCCGGGCCTGTACCCTGACCAGGAATCGAACCGTGACCTCCTGGTTCATAGGTCGATGCTCAAACCACTGGGCCATGCTGGCCAGGCTGCACAGCTCCTTAATAGAAGGTTTCCCCTGGTTTGCAAAGGCCTCTCACGCACATGCATCTTTTCCCACCTTTTCTAAGTGACCGTGAGGCCACCGCCATGATACTACTGTCCCTGTTTTACAGAAAGAACACGAGGCCCAAAGGGGACTAGCTCATGCGGGGCTCCTGCTGGCAGGTCTGTGGGGAACAGGCCAGCAAACCAGCTCCACAGGGGAGCACTTCGGAGAGGAAAGTGGTGACTGATCTTTTCAGAGTTAGGAAAGCGAAGCTGGGGCACATAGAGAGATAGCTCCACTTTACGAAAATTCAAATATCAGGAAAGGGGCTGTAGCAACCTTCCAACAGCAAACTGCCCTGGAAATTGGCTAGCAAAGAGATCCAGCTAGAAAGGGGTCAACAGCCGCTCGCTCATGAGAGAAGCCCGTGAATGCCCTTCGGCTGCCCCCACGGTGACCTCTGCCTGAGGCCGCTGAGCCCTCGAGGCTCTGTGGGGCTCCAACTCAACGACACAGTCTGTCCATTCATTCAGGCACATGCTGGACGCCGGGTACCAGGGCATAGAAAGGACATCTGCTGGCCTGAAGGGTCCAACGAGGGCGACAGACACTCAGCACAATAGCTGTGTGCTGACCAGGAGACGGATGGGGACCGAGGGAGCCCAGAGGAGGAAGACCCTAAATAGCCTTGGGGTCAGGGGGCTTCCCACAAGAGGGGGCACCTGGGCTGAGCCAATGAGGGAAGCAGCAGATGGAGCCGGTGTACTGAGCAGAGGGAACAGCACATGGGAAAGTAGGGAACACACAGCACCGTCTGGTAACTAAGAGTCCCACCTGCCTTGAGAGGTCAGGACAAGCCAGGGAGACGTAAGAGATGAAGCGGAGGGTCAGTGTACCGGGGGCCAGCTCAGGGGGGACCCTGGATGTCTTGCTTGGGACTTTAGGTTTAACCCTATAGGAGATGGGCAGATGCTGAAGGGGTGGGGGCAGGGAGCAAGGACCCCATCTAGACACACTGTTGTGGGGGAGGAGAAGATACCTCCCTCCTCATCGTTATCAATGAGTAGAATGGACCGGAAGGTAGACTGTGACTCCAGACAAAATGAACATCTTCCCCGGAACCCTTCTACTCTGTGCTCTGTCCCGTCTCCCCCATCCTCTCAGCGTGGGGGGTCCGAGATGCAGGGAGGCCACATGCTATGCCAAGGTCGGACAGATAAGCAAGGGGTGGGCTGGGAACGGAGCACGATGTGGCTCCAACCACAGCACTGGCCTCCTCCCCCAAGGGTATTAGCCCACACAGCCCACGTTTATCAGGTACGGGGGAGAGAGGTTGGCCTTTCCAGTTGTTGGGGTTTCTTGGGCATCCCACCCCCTCCTAACGCCCTTCCTCCTACTCCATCGCGTGGTGACTCTCTTCACGAATCTACTGGGCAGGATGAGCCCCTCCGTCTGAGCGTTCCCTGTGCCCCTCTGGAACTGCGGCCACAACTTACACTTCAGCTCCTACACCCATCTACAGGCAGCACGGACATGTTTCTTGGTCAGAGGATGAGCCCATGGGTAAGAAACAAGCCCCCAATTCTCCAGACTGACCACGGGGCTCTGCACCAGCTCAGAGAGGGCAGGTGGGTCGTCTTGCTGTGCGTGCCACCACCCGGCCATCGGCCGTGGCTCTGGGAATGACCCCGGAGCCACTTCGTAGGAAGAGCTTGGGGACTGACGGGTGCTGTGTGCTACGGACGAAGAACAGGAGCACAGCAGGCACGATGTTCCTGCTTACAGGCCACTGGCACGGGGAACCATCCTCGCTCACCTTTCTTAGCACCGGAGACCACAGGGAAATAACGTGGACAGTGACCGCCAGGCAACAGCCTGATAGTGAAAAGAGCACGGGGCGTGTCACGGGCTCTGGTCTAAGCGCTCGACTGTAACTCACTTCGTCCTCAGAACAACCCTGTGAGGGAGGTGTTGCTACGACCTCCGTTTTACAGGTGAGGAAACTGAGGCACAGGGGGGCTGAGCAACTGGCCCAGCTCCTATGGGATGTAAGCGGCTCTCAGCAAGCCCGCGGGGTGCAATGAAGACTCTGCCTGCATGATCCGAGAGACAGAGTAATCACGGGGACCTCCCCGCCCCCCAATCTGGCAGGTACCCTTGAGGTATGGCCACCACAGGGCAGACCCATTGGGGTGGGGTGCAACCAGGACCCTTTCAGGGATGTAGAGGCACCACAAGCTGAGATGGAATGAGAGAGAAAGGCCCGTTAAAGATGCTCGCCCGAGGGGCCTCCTCCGGGGCACAGTGGGAAAAGCACTCGGAGGCTGCAGGGGCCTGAGCCCCCAGCGCGGCTCTGCTACGCGCCAGGTGTGGAAGGCAGATAGCTCGCCCAGAGCTGCTAAAGGAGCTTACTGCCACCGCGTAACAGGGTGTTGCCACGTGCGTGTCAAGTGCCCGGCTTAATAAATTAGTGCTTAATAAGTTAGCGATCTCCCTAGCTTGGCATCCGGCAGCCTTCCCAACACACACGGGTCGCCACCACTTGACAGCTGGCTCCCCCACAGTTCTTTCCAGTTCAGGCCTGCAGAAGGGAGGGGCTGACAAGTTACCCCAAGATTCCAGCTTAGGTGGCAAGTACTTGTAAATTTCCACAACGTGGGAACCAACCAACCACCGTCAGAGACTCGGGCTGCAATCCCCTCTCAGCCTCCGACTGCTGTGTCTTGGACTCCCCTCTCGGGGCTCGGTCTGCTCCCCTCAGGGGACCAGAATGTTGACGGTGTCTCTGCCGTTGCATTCTCTGCACCTGCCAGGAGGCCTGGCGCGCCCGGGTTTTCTGAATCGAGTAAAGCTCTCTGCAGAGGCTCTGGGTTCAGAGACGGGCTTGATGCAATGGGGCCGGGGAAGAAATTAAGCCCAATCTCCTCTGATAAAATGATCAGGCAGAATATAAATCTCAGTGCTTTCCTTAAGCCTCAGGCAGACAGAAATAAGACAGGTGGCTCTGATAATGAAGAAAAAAAAAAATGCAGCTAATCCCACTCATTAGGCTCGTTTCAAAGCCTTATCGGTGTGGTTGGTAGTGGGAGCGTTAAATGTCAGGGTGTTTGAAGCTGTTCCCAAGGCAGGAATTAGAAAGCGAGCAACTGATTCCCGGGGAATGCATCTAATGCCGGGATTACACGCTTCGCCAGGGGCGGCCATGCACACGCCCAGGGCTGAAACTCAGTGTCATTTCTCCAATCCTGAGTGGCTCGGGCTGCGCCCACCTCAGAGTGTGCCTTCTGAGCGCACATCCCAGCCCGCCGAGGAGGACTGGGGACCAGAGACGTGGGGAGAGGACTGGGGGCACTGGGGTGAGGAGAGGGCTGGAACACAGGAAGCTGCTGAGGGGTCACAGAGCCTAACAAGTGTCCTCCGAGAGGGGAAATCCTACAGGGCCCGCCCGGCAGGCCAGCCTAGGGTTTGGAACAAAGGCTTAGAGCTTCCCCTGTGAGCACCGGCCAGGGCTGAGCCTCGGGCTCGGGGAGAGCCTGTCTCCGGTCGGGTCCAGCACACACTTCCTGAATGTCTACCCCGGCCTTTCCAAGCTACCCCGGAACCCCTGGGCCACACCTGCTCCACCCCTCCATCACCCACTCAGCAGAGGCCGTGGCCCCGGGGAACCGGGCTGGGCCTGGGGAGAAAAGGCGGGTGTCTACGCCCAGGTGGAGGGAGAGGGAGCCAGCGGGGCCGGGGCGCTGGGGGGGGGGGGGGGGCAGGCCCTACCTACCCAGGCCTGTCACCTTCCGCAGGCAGGTGAGGGCATACTGCAGGCGGCCGCACTCCTCCGCGCTCGCCCCGCAGCCCCGCAGCGTCTCCTTCACCTTGGCCTCGTTCATGTCCAGCAGCGCGTCCAGCGTGAGCTCTCGGAGGATCTCCTGAGGAAGCACAGAAGGGACAGGCAGAGAGCCCGTGAGCACTCTGGGGGTCCGGGCACCCTCTTCATTCTTCCCCTGGCCAGCGCCGGCCTCCCCGCTGAGTGGCAGGGGCCAGCTGCTGGTGGGCAGGCCTCCAGCTCGAGGCCACCACTTGTCTGAGGTCTCAGGCGGCCAGCCCTCACCCCAGCCCCACCCTCCCCGAGGCAGCAGCTGAAGTGGAGAGGCCTCAGCTTCAGGGTGAAGGGGGTGGGAGGGAAGGAGGGAAGAAGAGAAGGGGGGAAGGAAGGAAGGAAGGAAGGAAGGAAGGAAGGAAGGAAGGAAGGAAGGAAGGAAAAAATCTGAAAAGTTCAGATCAGGGCGCACTGCCCATCTTGTTTCTTTCAATGCCTCTGCCCAGAAAAATGATGAATCATGACAACTTTTCAGAATGACAGCACTTGAGATAAAGACTGCCCTTTACAATTCTGCTGCCCTGTGTCCGACTCAGACAAGATTCCGAATAAAATCGGCTTAGTGATAGGATGGAAAAGAATTCACCCTCGCCCTGGCCGGGTGGCTCCATGAATTGCAGCGTCGCCCCTTACCCCCAAAGGCTGCAGGTTCAGTCCTTGTTGGGGCCAGTACTGGAGGCAATCCATGTTTCTCTCTCACATCGATGTTGCTCTCGCTCTTGCTCTCACTCTCATAAATAAAAAAAAGAACATATTGCCAAAACCGGTATGGCTCAGTGGATAGAGCGTCAGCCGGGACTGAAGGGTCCCGGGTTCGATTTCTGTCAAGGGCATGTACCTTGGTTGTGGGCACATACCCAGTAGGGGGCGTGCAAGAGGCAGCTGATCAATGGCTCTCTCTCATCGATGTTTCTAACTCTCTATCTCTCTCCCTTCCTCTTTGTAAAAAATCAATAAAATATATATATTAAAAAACAGAACATATCCTCGGTTGAGGATTTAAAAAAAAAAAAATTAACCCTCAACAAGCATATAGGCCCTTACTACCTCCCTTTAGTTAAGTCTCAGCCAAAACCTTCCCTAGGTGAAGGCAGCAGAGAGGGAGTGAGAGACGTGAAGTGTGAGAAGGACACCCTGTGGACTGGGAAGATGGAGAGTCCACGTGAGAAGGAATGCGGATCGCCTTTAGGGGAAGGTGTCCCCCTGTGGCCAGCAAGGAAGGGGGCACCTCAGACCTATCGATGGCCACCAGGAACTGGATTCTGCCAACCACCTGAATGCCCTTGGACATGGCTTTTTCCCAAAGTTTCCAGGTAGGCGGCCAGCCTGGCTGACACGGGCTTCAGGTAGTGAGGTGCGAAGCAGGGAGCAAGCAGAGTCCACCTCCATCCAGTCCCCCCTACAGAACTGAAAGCTACTCAGCGGGGCTTGCAAGCCGCTGAGCTTGTGGTGACTTGTGAGGCCGCAGTAGAAAACTCCCACAAAGAGGGTTGAGCTGAATCGAGGTCTGACTTCAGAGCTGTGCTCTCTCCCCTCACCAAGGGGAAGAAACCCCTCCGGCTCTGATCACTTTGAGTCACATGTGACACCAAGCCTGGAGCAGACAAGCAGCTCAACGGCACAGGTCCCTGGCCTCGGTGGCTTATGGGGTGACACGTCCTTGCACAGCAATGTGGCCGAGCACAGAGAAAGCTCGGAGCTGCGGGACCAGTGGTAAGATGTTTTGGGGTTGTTGTTTTTTTTGTGTGTTTTTTTTTTTCTTCTTCTTTGGCCCCTTTCTATAGTTTCCAAAATTTTTGTAACAGAGAACACCAAACATTCCACATCCAGTGATTCATACGAAGCTCGCAATCCTTGAGAAGCTAAGCTGGGTTTCATTGATTTTAGCAAGCTGTGTCTAATTTTACTTTAAGAGAGTAATGCTATTGTCAGTCTATCCCCAAGTGTCAAAACTGAACCTGATAAAGATACTGCCTCTGAGTCATTGAGGCAACAGTTTGGGGCTCTGTGATGCCCTGGGCCTCGTACGTGGTCCCTGAAGTCTGGCCATGCCCCTCCCCTCCCCTCCCCGCCTCTGTCTTGTCTGTATATTCTTCAGTCTCCAGGGTTGTGGGCAAGAATCTCGTAGCTGTTTAGAATGAGGCATACGGCCGAGACCGGTTTGGCTCAATGGATAGAGCGTCGGCTTGGGGACAATTCCAGTCAAGGGCATGTACCTTGGTTGCGGGCACATCCCCAGTAGGGGGTGTGCAAGAGGCAGCTGATCGATGACTCTCTCTCATCGATGTTTCTAACTCTCTATCTCTCTCCCTTCCTCTCTGTACAACATCAATAAAAAAAATATATATATATATATATATATATATATATATATATATATATATAGAATGAGGCACACCAATAATTAGAAATAAGCACACAAGTAAAAAGCACCAAGCAGCTCCTCATGGGTTGGACAAACCCGTGGTTGTCAGACATCCTCCTGAAGACAAAACCAGAGCGTCACAGAGGAAGATAAGAACAGCACAGGGAGGGGGAGCTGATTAGATAACAGCCCCAGGCAGAAACTTCGGTTCAGCGGTGTATCTTCCCCGACTGCAGATGAGGTGGTGACATCTTTCCCCTCATTTCACTATGAAAAGCAGGTCGGCAGCATTGTCAGAGGACAAACAAATGGTGTGTGACCTTTACCCAGAGCAGACACCACCCTCCACCTCTCCCCAGAGCGTCCTGTCCTCCCCGGGCAGGTTCTCACGGAGGCTCCTGCATGTCCCGAGGCGGTGATGACTCAGCAGGTTTCCAAGAGGAGGTTCCTGTATCTGCCTGATTGTGTGTGTGTGTGTGTGTGTGTGTGTGTGTGTGTGTGTGTGTGGAGGGGGGAGAGGGGGACCGACGACAATGACATGGACACCAACAAGCCCAGAAATCCAAGTCCCAATCTAACTAAAATGCAAAGGATTGGTTTCCTTTCCTTATACCCCTCTCTTTCCCACCCACACCAAGTTTCAGTTTCCCCAACGTAATAATTACATTTATTATTACACACCATTTGCCAGTACAACATGCCCAGTACTTCGTATACCAGCTCCATTCAGAACAGTTCAGCAAGGAAAGGCGTTAAGCCCATTTTACTGAGGCTCAGAGACCTCGAGCAAGGCTGCTGAATAAATGGCAGGGCCAGAACTGACACCCAGGAATGCCATTCCTCAAACTCTTTCCATTATTCCAATCCAGGGGTCCCACGTAACCTGGAGCCGCCCCAGCCTCTTCCGGGACGGGCATTGCTTTCTGGAGTGTGAACGCTGCATCAATGAAATGAGAGTGCTTACTCACCGCTGTGGCCATGGTTTCCGATCGCTCCTTCCCCTCTCCAATCCCTGGTCCCTCCCCGCAGGGCTGGATCACTGAGCTGGGGAGAGGGACCCCCTCCCCCCATTCCTTCCTCAAAGTGCAGTCAGTGAAGCTCTCCCCCAGTCAGCGGGTTACCTGGCAGGGAGGGTCTCACACACACAGCCTCGGGGCCAGGCCTTGGGAAGTGAGATCAGAGGCGATGAGGATCTAATTTTTGATGGAGACACGTGCACTAGAAACAAGCCTCTGGCCTCCACTGGACAGTAAGAAATCCAGCAGCAGCAAGGGTGATGCTCATCAGAAACCCACCCTCTGCCCTCAGGCAGTGCTGGGTGAGAGGGGAGACTCTGGGAGGGGCACCAGATCGTCTGGTTTGAAAGAAATCTGAGTTTTTATTTTAAAATAAAAATTTTACAGGGTGGCAACTCATGCAAATTTGTGCAACCAAACAATGGTTCCACGGAGCCTCCAGACTCCCGCCTGGAGACCCTGCATGAAGACTCTGACGCCTTCCGAATGTCTGATCGGCGATTTTTGAAAGCTTGATTTCTGCAGGCAACTGGGGAGAACCGGGGGCCCAGCAGCAAGGGTCCTTGGCAACATCCCACTGGACGGCCAGGCCTTCTCGGAGAGGTACCCACCCTGGCTCTGGCACCCCATGCCAGAAACAAAGCGCCCAGCCTTCCAAAGCCGATGAGTGACTTTGGACCAGAGTTATTTCAATGAAGAGGAGAGAGCAGGAGGCCGGGATGCTGGAACCGGGGCCCCCAGCTAAACCACAGCCAGGCTGGGCCACTGGCCGTGCAGGCCCTTGAGGGGCCCTCCATCTCCCTCTACCCTGACCTGAGCAATGGCCCTCAGCAACTCGCCACCCCCAAACCTCACACTCGGATGTGACTTGCCCACCCACGGGGCCAAGCAGAGCTGAGACTGAGTTAGGAAGTTATTATTTCACACCCAAACTTGCTGGACAATTTCCCAGCCAGAAGCAAAGGAGGGGATCAGTTTAACCACCTTCTAAAGGCAAACTCACAGGCCTGGCAGGCAGAGCAGCTCTGAAACCCTCTCAGGTCTCAGAGGCCTCAAGAGAGCCGCACCCCCGCCCGCGGGCACACGGAACACGCCACCTGTCTCACGGCCAAGGGCCCGCCCCCCACCCCACCCACCCCCGAGTTCTGGGGAAGGGACAAAGGCCGAGAGGCGATTGTTCTGAGGAGAATCGCTGCCACCCCACCCGGGCTTCCATGTAAAGAAGAGACTATGAACTAGAAACCAGGAAGGGAGGGCCTGGCTGCCCAGCCGGTTTCGGGGGTGAGCAGGGGGCACGGAAGCAGGGCAGTGAGGACACGGGTCAGAGCAAGAGTCCGAGGACACTGGCTCTGCCTCTGCCCATCCCTTCCAGACACGGTGTATACTCTCCGGTGGGTGGCATTCGGTCGTTCCTTCTCACATGCATAACGATTAGAGAGCAGGGTCAGCGGGGCACCGAAGCCCCTCCCCGCCTGCGCTAAGCTGCCGGCTCTGTTCTCTATAGGAGGTGGGGTGGGCCAGCCCAAGCACTGCGGCCCCCTCCCCTCAGCAGCTGGCAGCGGCTGGAGGCGGGCCAGGCGGGTATCAAATGGTATCCCGAGACTTACCAGCAGCCACGGGGCTGCCTGGGGTCTATACTTAGAAACCTGCGCCGGCTCACAGGGAGAG